GGAAAGACTATGAATGACTATGTCAATTCCCATCAAGACAAGTCGCGCAACGCAATGAACAAGGCAGTAGAAGCCTCCTTTCAGGCTTGGGTGGAGGAGCTTCGGGCAGACCAAGCCCAATTCACAAGTGAAAAGGTGATGAACCTCGACTGAACACTTGATATTATCTATTCAATGTCTTTTTGAACTGCAACCCCTTTCAACTGGTTGTGATGATTTACAACCCCAGAAGTTTTACAAAAAAACCAGACAAAGATTCCTCAAACGTCTGAGGTTGGAGAAGGAGGGCGCAAAAGCGAGGAACAAATTGGTTCGTCAGCTTGAGGACTGGGTTTGAACAGTGTCTTTTGGTTAAGGTTACACCTGTTCCCTTTTTTTTGTTTCCGGGGAGGTTGGCCAGACCAAAGTGCAAAGATTCAGTTTGATGTTTTGCAAGATAAATTAACCCTCCATTTTATGATATCATATGATATCTTTAGATACGAAACATCTTTGATTTGTAACCGTTGTACAATCAACTGTCTGGGAGGAGTGTCACACGCGTGCATGGGATTGCGTCGGGACATTCATGAAGGAAAACCTGACCTTATTCGTGGGGAAAACTTCTGAGGGTGAGAGCACTGTGATGCCTCAATCCAGAGGATGGATTCGTGATCAGGCAAGTGAGTTGGGGTGTGCGCCCGACGACCATGGGGTGGTGCTGTTCCTCAACGCACCGGCCATTGGTGTGGTTTCAGCAGCACGCAACAATTTCATTTTGAATTACATCACCAACATTCTGACAGAATGGCCCACGAATTCTGTGTGCTTTATCGTGCACCCGAACCGTGCCAGCCAACAAGAAGGGAGGAGGGGTGTGTTTGGGATATGCCGGATATGTGATTAACAAATCATACATTAGCCTGTCATATGGTGCCTTCAAACCTCCCAGGAGCACTTTTGAGTTTTATCCTGGATCTGGGAAATGGTGTCAAGTTCTAGCTAGTCTCAAGCTTGCCATTTTGATCTTCTTACAAATCAAATGTCAGGGTTCATAGACAATTGAAATTCTAGACATCTTAGATTTGGTTTCACAACTCCACCAACCAATCAGGACCAAACCTGCAAGTCTCATCATCTCATTGTGTCCTGGCAGGAAATCCGGAATGAAGAAGGAGGAGGACGATGATGACGTGGACATGGAGCCAAAGGTCAAAGGGGATGATGACGATGACAGTGAAGATGATGGTGTGACCAAGACCAGACGTGATGATCATGATGATCTAGTCCGGAAAGTTCGATACAACCTGGAGAATTTTGGCTAACTTTAATATGAATCATTTCGCATGAAAGTCATGTGTATGTCCAATGACGATGTTGCCAATTTTTGGATGAACCATTAACTATGATCGAAAAATCTTGTTCCCATATCGTGGATCCGATTGTTTTTCCCCCTGTGTCCCCTGCCTGCCACTCCTCAAACTCAGGACGGATCTTTCGCTGCCTGAGCGGAACTTGCGGGTGCGAAGCCTGACATATGTCTTTGATCCAGCCACTAGATAGCAACAGTCCTGTGATGGGTACATGTTGGAAAGTTTGATAGGTACATATGCTGCCAGGTAGAAAATCAACAACATGATGCAGTCGACAATCAGATGTTTTCTATTCTATATAAATGTTATATTTTGGGGCTTCAGTTGTTTCATCAATCACGTGGGGCTAACACATTGTCATTGGCAAATGTTTCTTCAAACGCAAAGCCCACATGGTAGTGATTTGAGCGAATCTGAGGAATCCATGTATGGTAAACGAGAAGGAGTTTTGCCTGGCTTGGTTGTGATGTCCAACCACCCCAAGAACTTCTACAAGCAAACGCGTGGATTCAAAACTGGCACGGTGATGGGCATCCAGATGCTGGCCCGTGCCAACATGGTGAAGCCTGAATCTGACTCTTGGATGCATGTTATTTTATGAATATGAATGTTTTACTCACTGCAAGTGTGGGGATTAATGCCTCATTGGTTATTAGAACCAGAACCGCAGAATACCGCAGATGGAAAACAATCATGCAACACACCCAACTTGCATCCGTGCCTTCCAAAATCTCTCAGGTGAGCCCAAGCAAGCTGCCTCATTTGGGCAGAGCGTTCACAGACATCCAGGAGCAAAAGCAAGCCCCTTGTCCATTCACTATCCCCTGGGCCGTTCACTGGTATTAGTCTTCCCCTTTTGTCCCAAAGTTCACACTCTTTGTCATTAAAGTCATTAGCAAAGGTTATTTGTGGAACTCTCTGATTCCTTTTGACACTGTTCCCTGGGTCATGCATTGGTCACTCAGGTTGCTGGGGGCACCGACTTCCTGCAGAAGACCTTGGAAGCCTTCTCTGTGGCCTCAATCAAGTCGCAAATCTTGATCGACATGCATGCATACGACGGGTGTTGTGCACTGTCGGCTGTGGAGGCTGGATGGATACATAATTAATATGCACTATCATATGGTTGATGTTTTAAAGACTTGTAAGACCATGACTTATTAGTATCGGTGTGGTCATGGATAGAACAGACCATTTCAAAGGTTGATAGTGGCATGAACGTATCCCTCCACCACTCATACCTTTCCTTCCTCCCCTCTTGTTGAGTATGGTGTGATGCTAAGTGGGCATGGCAATTACCTAAATGGGTGGTTCTGCATCCACTCATGCTGCTGGGTCCAGTCTCTCAACTTGAACCTTGCCGGTCCAATAGAAAACCTTGTATTCAACTTATTCTATTATATTACATATTTACTATAATAATACAGTATATTATATATCCATCCCTGCTGACAAACAGGACATTTCTGCTGGCAAGAGCACTGTCTGTGGAACACTATGCCTGGACCACTCTGGCTCAGACATGATGCAGAGGATTGGAAATGTGATTTACGAAAGATGTCGGGCATCCACCCTCACGTTGCCAGGGTTCCCGGACTTTGGTCCGACCATTGCTGCCTTGAGAAACAGCAGTGTCCAGGAACGTACCAAGAGCTACAGAGTGAGTGCGCAACAACATGACACTCTCATGGTGCTCGAAGTTTATGCCAAGAAATGGCTGTCCACGGAAAGTACCAAGGAACGTGCACAGGAGGTGATCCAATCACACAATTCGGAATTCAATCCGACCGACAAGTTCTGGATTGAAGAAAGGACTGTTTGCTAGCATTTTCCACATTCTTCAGAGAAAAACTAAACTACCCAAATTTCCTGAAAATACCTCCAGAGATATCAGTGATTCTTCCGATCGAAAACTTCAATTAGTCAGGCTAAGTTAAACTTTTCACTGAGTCAATGACCCCAGCCAGGACAGAAGCTGAGTCAGCACGCGTGGAACAGCCACCTGCGAAGCGAGTGAAGCTGGAAACCGTGACTGAGCAGGAGCTATCGAAGCTTCCGAATGTGAGCTCTGTTGGCATTAACCACCATTGACCATTAACCTAGACTTGATAGTTTGGACCAGGCTTGGTTTTCTTATTTCTTAGTAACTTCTGAAAAGAATGCCACAGTCATGGCAACACCTTTTGATTGGCAAAGGAAAAAGCTGTCGCTGAACAACGCATGTGACCTTGTCCTGGCCGGCGAAACCGGCGACAGCTTGTTCCTCTCCTCGCGCGCCAGAAATCAGTTTCTGGAGAATCGAGAGTTGTATCTTGGTTGCATGATCAAATCGAGAGTTTTCCCCCAGCACTGCTATCCTGAAAATCATGACACTGAAAATACCAGTTGCTGCGATCAACAAACTGCATATCAGGTGCAGCTTTGGAGGGGGCGAGTGGAGGGATGGAGCAGAATCTTGCCAGAATAGGGGTCAGAGCTTTTGATGATACATTGATGGTTCAAATATATTATGTTACCTTCGTGAAGTCAAGTAGGTATTCGGATCTATGACCTATGACAATTTCAATCTATGCTCTATGATAATATGCCTATCACTCGACACCTTTCATCAATGTCCTCTCCTCTCTCCCAGGAAGCGGATGAGGTCCTTGCCAATGCTGAAGGGCGCTGGATGAGCTTCTGTGCCACCAACATGACGCTGGTGCTCCTGGAGCGCAAAGGCTTGCCAGAGCATTTGGCAAGCATGGACAGCTTGGAAACCGTTGTGACATTGCAATCGTTGATTTGTGATTTGCAGGATCTTGGAGAAGTTTCTAGGCTAACTTGAACACCCGAAGTTGGGCCTACTCTTGGTCTTCTTTCACATGCCGGAAAGACTATTCATTTCTGATTAGCTAAGGTCAAGTTGGAGCTTTCTCACCACAAGATGGAGGATACTGATTGGGTCAACAACAAATCGCTGGTGTTCGTTCTTGACCAGCCCCCGCAGCCACAGGATCCACAAAAGAAGAAGGGCAAAAAAATCAAGGGTACTGTGCAGATTTCAGCCAAGAATTTCGGAAGTTGGATGAGTGTGACAAAGTTGAAAACGGCTGGTGACACAGTGAATATCGCATGGCGTGTTCGGTTTCCCGTCTTTGAACAAATATTGCCAAAACTGATACAGAATGTATGTCTCACAAACATGATGCCAAAAAAATGTATTTGTTTTCTTCGCTGCCTCAGGTTGGATGCCAGCAACTCCAACGGGATCAAGGTCATTACTCCGATTCGACCTATTCTGGTTTTGGCACACCAACATGACTTGAATGAGACGACGCTGCGCTTGATGTAGGTTCATCAACAAGTTTGGATGGCCTGCCCCTTTCAGGGTTCCGTTGTTTCAGTGTCTAAACATTTGGCAATGGATGTTCCCACGAATCTTTGTCTTACTAAATAATGGCCCCAGGTTTACTGTAACAATGACTTACTTTTGACACCAGGTTTAACATTTGAATTTCAACCATTACATCAGATTAAACACACTGAATTTGGGGAAGGCCGGCGAAGAAATCCAGTCATTGCTTTTGAGAAGGGGGCGGCATCACTCTGAAGTGAGTGGTATGAGGAAGACCCCTTTTGTTGTTTGGAACTTGGTTTGTGAAACAACTCAATTGTCCTGTCCTCATCGACTGAAGAAGCGTTTCTGCGGCAAGTTCCTGGCAACGGGTTGACATAGCGCTGGCACATGCCAAATGCAAAGCTGTGAATGGGAAGCACCCGGTCACACGAAAAGATGAAAATCAACATGCATAGTATGAGAACCATTTTGGATAGTTCTGGAATGTTTTGGATGTCAATGTGGTGTCAACTTCATTGGTCTCACTCAAGGTGATTGTCAGAAAGTTCACTCCAACTGGACTTGAATATGCAACCGGGAATAACCGGGATCATTTTTTCATCCTGGGAGTGTGTTTTGCTCAAAATACCATTTGGCGTGATCCATTCCGCGAGATGGGGGACTCTCAGAGAAGCGATGATGACAGTGTTGAAGAGGTCCCGCTGACTGCTGGCAGTTTTCGCCGGCCGGTATCTTGCCCAAAGCATTGGGGGGGGCAGCTATAGAATATTCACAACAGGCATCAAACAATTTTCAGAACATCTGTTTGGGGTGAATTGGGGTGAATATTATAATTAAAATTCTTTATGATGACTATATGTGTCCACATATTATAATTCTATATGATGCCCTCTGCACATTATAATTCTATATGATAACTATATGTGTCCTCATACTATATCTCTATATGATGACTATATGTGTCCACAAATCCTGAGGACTTTGATTTGCAGCGCCTTATGTCTTCGAGTTCCTTGGGTGCTTCCGCACGGCCGCCAACCAGAGGGCCTGTTGGGGCGCTGCAGGCTTTGGCGAAAAGCTCCTCTCAGCCTGCAGCAGCATCAGGTGCCAATTGCTGTTTAACACTTTGTATGCCCGCATATGTGGTCACATAATCATTTATTATATTATACGATGAATCAACATTATGTAATATCTTTTGAGAGGTTTGCCTAATGGGTCTCCAATTCCCAGGAGGGAGTGCTTCTCATGATGATCCTCATCATACTTTGCCGGGTCGTGTTGCTGCTTCGGAGTCTTCATCTACATGCCCTGATACCAAGAAAAGTCAAAAACCCATGAAAAAACCCTCCAGGAAAAAGTCCGGTGACGATGATGATGATGAACCAGTTTGCTCAGAACACGAACCTTTGGGGGGAGCTGATGATGACGACCACGATGATGATAATCTGTCAAATGGTAATGGGGATGATGGGGTTCCCAGAGATCTCAAACCTAAGAATGTGATGAAAAAACCCGGGGCACGTGCTACCTCAACAATGAAGAGACCATCATCAAAGCGTTCGAAGAAGAATGAGGACTGGTTCTAACTCAATCATTATCGTTTTCACAGGTTGTTTTAGAAATTGTTGTGGATAATTACATGTTCAAAATTCAGTTGTGTGTGTGTGCATGTGTGTTGTGAGGATGCTGATCAAGTGCCCCCATCTGCGGGGCTTTATGATGATGAAATGCAGTGCTACATGGATTCCGAAAATGCGATGTTTCTTGGAGAAGTTAATGCAACATGATTCAACTTCCAATATTGCAGAAGAAGAGGTTCACAGTGGATCACATGCCCTAACAAGTTAAGGCCAAGCACTTTCAGTGGTGCTCCCTCAGACCCATGCCCTACTGGCTTCGATGTGCCTTAGATGAAAATGCCAAACAAATCAATCAGGTAAGTTGTTTCTCTCAATTTGATTATTTATGTATGTTCTCTGCGACCTCCCTGTTGCCAAGGGCCTCCATGCTTCGGCTTTGGAGTCGAAAGCGCCGCCATGCGTTCCTGAGCTGCCAGTGTCTAGTCCCAAACTCTTGGGATGTGATCTGGGATAGGGATGATTAAAAAATCTCAACCTTGGGAGAAAACCGGAGATGTTCACACCAGGAAACATAGGTTGATCCTGTCACAATCAGGCCCTTAGGTATGCAACTATTGTCCAAGTATCATCAAGTATCCCTATGACATCCTAAGAATATTAACTGTAATGTATCAATTCTATCGTATTGTCTTTTGACCCTGTACAGTACATTAGAAAATATGAGACCTTAAATGTTTTATCATCCCACAACCCACCACATGGAAGACGTATTTGTGTTAAATCATATGTTTGTGGATGATATAGGCATCACATAAATCATCTAAAAGTAATTCTGATAAATATGTTCCCGCTATGGCCATATTTAATTCACACATCACATGACTAAATTAAATCTAAACTATGATTCAACCATATTAAAACAACAGACCGTATCTTAGTCTAATTTATTGTACCCCCAAAGATTTTTGATTGAAAATAATTAAACATAGAGGTGGTTTGCATATATTTTCCCAAAACGTGTATGTGTATGTATGTGTGCTTTACTCTGACCGACTTAGGAGACGCAGCCAGAGATGGAGAATCCTGCTGACACACAAATGGAGGAGGAGACTTGGCAAGAGACCCAGCCCGAGATTTCTTGCACACAGGCGGAGGCCAGGCAGCTTCTGGCTTGATCTGTTGATCTTTTTTTGACGGATCAGTTGAAGTTTTGACACTGTTCCATCCCTGCCACGCAAAAAAACCTATCACAAATCCACCCTTTACCCTTCACCTTTCCTGATTTCCAGCAGGCCGATGAGCTTGCCTTGACCTTGCAGTTTATGGAGGATGCGGGGGAGAAGACTTCAAATGATCTTGCCGATGTGAACCACGCAATTCATGACCTTCCTGAGGGGTGGGTGACAAGAGAAATGATCCAAAAAACACATGCAGCCATTGACAATTGTCTCAAGAAGCTTCACACGTTGATGCAAGAGCCTTGTCAGGAGACTCAGGCAAGCTCGGAGTTTGACAAGGGAGAGGATCAAGACCATGACAATGAGGGGCTGAGTGGTGTGACGGATGCTGAAAAGCTTGGAGATGACACAGACGACAAGAACAACGAGGATAAGAATGATGGCAAGTTCGAGATCCAGGTTCTCAACGATCAGACCTATGTGGATGACATCTATCAACTCCGACAACGTCACGCAGAAGCTCGAAGTCATGGCGAAGATTCTGGATGGCACACTCCCATGGCCTGCTGCCATCCAGTTGAAGGTGAAGGACAATGTGGAGTTGTCACCTTCTCTCGACCGGTGCCTTCAGATTGGACACAGCATGAATGGTATGTTGGAGTGCTGGAAGTCAGCACTAAACAGCATGCCTGACTCTGACCAGACCAACAAGAAGGATGCTCAGGAGACTGACGGCATGGCTCCCACCAGGAAGACCAAAGGCAAGGGACGAAAATCCAGATCCAAGGGACGAGGGTCTACCGGGAAGACCAAATCCAAGGGAAAGTCCAAGGTAAAGTCGAAACAGCTGAAGACTTTGAATCGGTTGGCAGCAGCAAAGAAAGCAGAAGCAGCAGAAGCAGCTGCCACACCAGCACCTGCATCGACCAAGAAACCCAAGACAAGCAAAGCACCCAAGACTCCCAAGGTGGCTGCCAAGAAGAATGAGAAAGGTGAACATGAGGACCTGGAGACCGGCAAAGCACCCAAGACTCCCAAGGTGGCTGCCAAGAGGAATAAGAAACGTGAACATGAGGACCTGGAGACCGGTGAGGGCCTGCCAGGTGAGAATCCCCCCGATTCCAGGTTGAATGACAAGGATCTTCAGAAGAAGCTGCACTCGGTACCTAGCTTGCAAGTGGCACCAAACCTCACCATTCCCAGCACCCAGCATTCGGTGATGAGATGATTCCTATTTCCAATCGGTCTTGATTGCTAACCTGGCTGTGCTGATCATACCAATCTTCATTCCACCAACCAGTTTTGAACTTTTCATCCACCTGTTCTATATCATCCACTTTTCAGATCACATTTTTTTCACCCTTCCCTCCAGTCTTGAACCTGTTTTTTCATTTTTTTGTATGAGGTATACTCTTGTGCCTGGTCAAAGTTCAAGGCGCAGGGCAAAAATGGAGATGAGGCACGCAAGAAAGCTCTGGCAACCCGTGTCCAGTCACTTAGCCCAATACGTATCTGCCATATTCCATGTATGCATCACATGTGTGTGCTCAATTATATGTTATGTCTTGTATATGTTGTATATGTGTTAAATTTTGCCACTGATAAGGTGGATCGTGGACAATGGATACACCGACGCTCCAGCTGCGATGAAGTTTCTCTAGATTGAATGTCTAGATTTTAGGTTTAGACTGTGTGAAACCATGGTCTTTGGGGTTTGATGCCCAGTCTGATCAGTGGTATAGCCACTATTTGTCGGATTTGATGCATCCAAGAGTCAGAGGGAATTGCGGTTTCGCAGACTGCGGCTTGGAAGAAAAATGCGGAATGAAGCGTGGCCAAAATCCCTGAAAACATCATGATTGAACACCATGATCACAGGACCCACTCCCAAAGCGGAAAGGAACCAGATACAATTGAACATGAATATATATAAACATATGGTGAGTTTCCATAGTTTCTAATTAGATCTTAAATTTAAGTTCAATACTACCAATGACCCAAATCTATCCAAATCTAGTATACTTAGATTCATAGATTCAACACATTCCAACAATACCTGGGGAAAGGCATTATGATCCAACATACCCAAATCCATCATTCCATCCCTATGTATGATCTTTCAGTCAATCCTCATTTAGTCCAACAATATCCAACAAATTCGAATTTTGGTACATGTCCATCATGTCCATGTCCCTTTATCCATGTCCCTTCATCCTGGGAATCCCTGAGATACGCCCTCGATCTTCGGGATCCTCGATCGACTCGGTCCCTTCCGGCCTCCATTGGCCCCTCTTGCCCAATTGACTCAGCAGCGAGGTGAAGTCCTGTCGCGGCACTGTCGTGGGTCCCGAAGACTGGGAGATCCATTGGGATGATGACGTGGTGAATGGTACTGGGACGGATATCCAAAAAATCAGCCAACGCACGGCTCAATTTCAGGCTGTGCATGTTTTTTTCGTTGAAGCATCTTGGCCAAGTTTAGACTAGATGTTGTTCAGCTGATTTGTGGTTAGGATTGATATCCACATCGAAAAAAATCAACGATGAAAATACGCCTCGTCCAGTTGGTGTCCCGGAAGGTGATACGTTCAGTCAAAATTCAATCTTCAAATGCATCACTGGTTGGTGGTTTGAACCCCTCTGAAAAATGATGGAGTTCGTCAGTTGGGATTATTCTTCCCAATATATGGAAAAACAAAAATTCATGTTCCAAACCACCAACCAGGCATTAGATGAACATCTGGGAGCACCAACCAAGGTGCTGAGAATGAGAGTCAAGACTACGGCAGGGTTCCAGGTTTTGCTGTGGAGGCTGTGGGTCTCACAAGGATCATCGGATTCGTGCGGCTCAGCTCCCAATCACCCAATCAGCTCCAAAGATTCAAACTTAATGGCGAACCATCCATCTATGCGAACATGCATGCGAACAACTCGAAGTTTATATATGACTTCAAGTAGTATAGTAGTCACCTTGGTTTAAGACTCTTAGACTCTTATCATGGCTACTTGCAGGGTCTACTTCGATGTCATCTGTGATGTATATCCCAGTTGGGAAGTGGTGTTCGAATGGATCTGCAGGAGCAAGACTGCGGCATGGATCTGCGCCGACAACCACCCATTGGGAATAGCAACATGGACATGGTGGGCATGGCACAAGATCCTTTTGCGGTCTCGAGCGGTGGAGAAGAAGAAGTTTTGAAATCTTGCCGCCATCATCGCATTTTGGCCTCCATGTCCACCTGCTCTCTGAAAGCTTCTGTGGCAGGAATCCGAAATTTCTCGCCAGCTGAAACAAAGATCGGACATTTGGCAGTATAGCGAAAATCTGACGCCGCAATGTTCTTTGGTAGGGGGATGGTGACTGGCTCTCCTTCGAAAAGCACATCACCATGTAGAACCCAACCCTACATATATCAAATGTGTATATATATATATATATATATCATTCGTATATTATATACACTGAATATGATTTATAATATATAAGCAATAATAAGCAATATATATATATATATATCATATGGTTCACCGCATACATGTTTATACTGTGGTTCTCAAGCACTTCCAACACCTGGGTTGCCTGGGTTGCTTGAATCCCCATCATTTTCACTATCCCATGAACATCCCACTAGCAATGCCTGAGATGCCCATGAATATTCCATGAAGCCATCAATATTATTCCATTGGCCCATTCATATTCCACGAGGAAATTCGTGGAAATTTCCATGAATATCCATTGAATATTCCATTAAGCCAAATTAAGCCATTAAGAATCATTAAGCCATTAAGAATCATTAAGCCATTAAAAATCATTAAGCCATTAAAAATCATTAACATATATTAACATCCATTAATCCAATTAAGTCTCCAAGCGTCTCCCTAGATTCCAAGTCGACCCACCGGCTTCACCTGAGGGCTCTGTAGCCCACCCTTTCGCCGCAGTTCCGCCACATACTCCGACACATCCTGCGCGACGACCAGTGTGCTGCCGTTGAAAGGGAAGAGAGGCTGGGATACAAAATCTACAATGTGAGGCCCCCAAGATACCTAAGTTGGTTTATAACTTCAATAACTATACTGTGGTGTTTTTATCATAGGTGAATAGTTGTTATAGGGTTATACATAATATATATATATATATATATATACTATGCTATCCGGCCACCCCCACATATTTACATATATATTTGATGTAATTATAGTATATATAATATGTTATCCGGGTCACCCCCATATGTTTATATGTGTGTATATATATATATATACTATCTTATCGGGTCACCCACACATACACACACATATATATATATACTTTAAACCCCACAACGCTTCCACTCAGCTATCACAGCAGCAACAGCCGGCTTTTTTCAAAAATTACCCATTTTGACAGAATTACCCATTCACTACCGGTAGCGAGCGTTCTAATTGCTCCCCATCATCCCAATTCTTGACAGAATTCCCCATTCACTACCGGTAGCGAGCGTTCTAAGGAACCCCAATCGTCCCAATTTTTGAAAGAATTCCCCATTCACTACCGGTAGCGAGCGTTCTAAGGAACCCCAATCGTCCCAATTTTTGAAAGAATTCCCCATTCACTACCGGTAGCGAGCGTTCTAAGGGCCCCCCAATCATCCATATGTATAATTGCTGCTTTTAAGATAGATAGCGTGCTAACAGGGAGCGACCGTCGCTCCCTCTTAGAACACTCACTACCGGTAGCGAGCGTTCTAAGGGAGGTTTCCTGTCGCTGGAGCACCCTCAATCTTGCGTTCTTCTCACTAAGACCCCAGCGAAAACACAAGATCATCCCTGGTCCGATGTTTGCCAACCCCCCCTTAGAACACTCACTACCGGTAGCGAGCGTTCTAACAGGGAGCGACCGTCGCACCCTGTTAGAACACTATCTATCTTAGGGAGCGTTCTAACAGGGAGCGACCGTCGCTCCCTCTTAGAACACTCACTACCGGTAGCGAGCGTTCTAAGGGCCCCCGATCATCCCAATTTTAGAAAAAATCAATTCAAACCCCAATTCACTACCGGTAGCGAGCGTTCTAAGGAACCCCGATCATCCCAATTTTTGAAAAAATCCACTCAAATCCCAATTCAGCTGCTGTTGCTGCTGTGATAGCTGAGTGGAAGCGTTGTGGGGTTTAAAGTATATATATATATATATGTGTATGTGTGGGTGACCCGATAAGATAGTATATATATATATACATATATGTAAACATATGGGGGTGACCCGGATAACATATTATATATACTATAATTACATAAAATATATATGTAAATATGTGGGGGTGACCCGATAGAATAGTATTAATATATGTATATATATTATGTATAACCCTATAGCAACTATTCACCTATGATAAAAACACCACAGTATAGTTTATGGTACTTATAACTATAGTTACTGGGGCGAATCTAAACCAATTTATAACTGGGGGGCCTCACATTGTACGAAAATCTATGGTTGAATCAAGTTGAAGCAAAAGCGTGATTCCACCAGCAAAACAACCAGCCAAAATGTCGATTTGACGCATCAAAAACCGGTGATTTGATCAGTTAATCTAGGGATCTGACCATCAAATGTCTGAAAATAGGGTATGCCATGGTACGCCCAAGTTATGCTTCTTGAATTACTTCGAAATATGATTGAGGGGTGGGTTAGATGGTTAGGATAATATCTTGGAGAATCATCCCGCTGGATGATGTACCTGGGTCGGTATTTGGGGTTAGCATAAACCCACTTTTTCAGGATCTCAAAGGTTTGTCCAATAGAGTACCCACATCTAACGTTTGATGACATGTTTTCATAACTTTTCCCCCACAAAACATTGGCAATCCTGTGGTATTCCCCATGCTTGGACGAACCCGATCAGATTTAGTAGCTCGAATACTACGTTTACCCAACTGAGCGAATGGAACTGAGCCAAGAAAAAGTACCACTTTTTTCAGGTTGAATAATATGGTGGTGCTTCTGTTGTTTTTGTTCCATGAACGACAAGAACAACTGCAGCTTTTGAGAATCCCTATGAAACGAGGTGGTACAAGTAGTACAAGCCACAAAAAATCACAACCAATCGACATTTGCTAAATAAGCATAGATAAACCATACCCTCTGGTAAACTAACATAGCTATTGAAAATGACCATTTATAGTGAGTTTTCCCATTAACAATGGTGGATCTTTCCATAGTTATGTGGCTGTTTCACAGACGGTAGTCTTCGTGTTCAAAAATGACACATGCTGCCTCTGATTTCACCTGGAAAATCACCAAAGGTGGCCTCGTCTGGTCGCAAGGCTCGGGGACCTTTTGGAGGACCTGTTGCCGTGGTCAAAGTCGAAGCCCGGAAGCCCAGAACGAGGCAACCAAGCAATTGGTTTAGTTGGTTTACTTGGGGGTTGAGTTACAGATTTTTCTTGTATACATGGCTATAGTCTATAGTCACAATAGTTGTACGGGTTCGATATATCTTGCATAATCTTACCATAAACCGCCATGAACCATAGTTAACCTAAGGAGAAACCAAATTATGTGGGCAGCCCAATGCCGTAAACCTACCATGTTTGGGCTGGTGGAAATCCCAGCCACAAAAAATAACAACCATTTGTCATGTAGGCATTCTTTACATTTTTTTACTACCAAAAGAACCAACCATTGATTTCTGGTTGGTTGGGTTTCCAGGTCTACAGACGCGGTCGTGCCTAACATCTGTGCCACTTTGGCCAGAATTTCCCAATCAAGGTTTCAAATAACACACGTACTACTCTGCACTCGGCCACAAGACTAAAAAACTCACTTTGATCGCTGTTCTGGGACTACCCCATCGCAACGCACCAAGCACCAAAGCCCCAATAACTGCTACTGTGAGGCCATTCCCCACCAAATTTCTGCGATTGCTTGTCTCCGGCGCATGGAACGAGCAATGTTAGCCTGCCTTAGCATGCCCCTGCAAGGCTGCTACTTTTCAAGCAACTTGCCAGCCATCAGTCTGATGACGATGCACCGTTCGATGCTTCCGCCAGCAGGTAGGTTTAGCAATTGTCGCTGTCGCTGTTGTTTGTGGCCATGTCATGATGTGTCTGTGCGATATTTGTTTCCAACGACAGCACTCTTTGAAGAATGAAACGCAGCCCAAAGTCGTTATTCCAGATGTTAAAAAACAATCAGCTGTGGGGATCCACTCATACCCTTCAAGAATGGCACGCTAGTTTCTTGAAACCTCTTTCATAGCGGCGTCCAAATGGGATCCCAGGGGGAAAACCGTTGACATTGGCTAATCCGTCTTGGGATGTTCCCCTTCAAACTGAGAAGACTAACCCCACCTGCTCTCCACCGAGTGGGATGATGATTCTCAAAGTGGGGGTTTCTCAAAAGAGGGGGTGCCCCCAAATCACCCAAAATCAGACGGCTTTAGTCTTGAAACCCATGACTCTGTCTTTATGTGCGTTTTGGAGAATTACCATCATACATCAAATGTATCCACACCATTGGTACTTAACAGTGCCAATCTTGGATACCCTGCATTAGTAGATAATCCCATTGATACCAAAAGACTAAAGGATTAAAGTACCCATCTAAGATTGACATACTGTAGTTCAAATTCACATAAATCATGGTTACTCCACTGGTGCTATGCTTTGAATGGCTCAAGTCGGGCGAAGGGATACCTGAACCATCAAGTATATACCATTGTTAAATCATTGAACATACATGAACATACCATTAAATATAGTTTAATCGGGTGTCTCTAAGCCTAAGGTATCCCAAAAAATAATGGTTTATCATGGTTTATCATCATTTTCTGATAGTGTCCCATTAAATTAAAATGGCCATAGTTTCGAGGTAAATCCCCAATTTTCAGTCACACCCAAATTGGCCCTATTCTTTAGTGACATTCGCATTTTTCATGGTGAACTTTTAAATAGGGCAACATCTACCCTCCGGTAATTTAACATAGCTATTAAAAATTGCCATTTATAGTGGATTTACCCATTAATGGTGACTTTCCAGTTCGCTACGTTAGTTTACCAGAGGGTAAACCTCCATTTTCCATCATTTTCCATCATTTTCCTATGGTTTTCCTATGGTTTTCCCATTAAAACCTCCATTTTGGTTGGCGAAATCACCATTTCGAATGGTTACACCGACCATCCCATGACCCACATGACCCACATGACCCACGCCTCTCGTGCCCGTCGCTGCTTTGCGCGTTGCGCGCAGCGGTCGAAGCCGTCGAAGCCGAAGCCGAAGCCGCCTTTCGCCCAAGGGTGGCACCTGCCAAGACGTTGCTCCAAAAGATGGCAAAAACCAACGACAATCAAAACATGTCAAAACTAGATGGGTGGTTGATTAATGTTGATTAATGTTGAGTATATATCCACCATGGGTGAAACCAGTAATTAATGTATATCTCACCAATTAAATGTTGTATGATGTCAATCCCAACCATTCTATCTCCACGAAATTCCATTCATATCATTCATGTTGGTTCAATCACCAACTGACTAACTGGTTAGAGATTCTAAATCCAATTGACATATCAAGTTGGTCTATCCCAAAAATAGTCCCATGATCTATCTCTATCACAGTACCATCCCTATGTTGATGGGATATGAATGTAATGACCATCTCCGGAGGTGTCTGGATACCATACTGACGATGCTTCATTGGATACCAACAGGGGGAGGCCGCAGCCACTGCTCACCAGTGTCTCCCTGCCCACCCAATTCTCAAACAAATACATCTAATCCTTGAAGATCAAGATTATGGCTGTAAAAATTGAAACCTGTGGGGAAAAAACATGAAACAACAAGACTAGAATCACAACATATGTAGAAAATCAACATGTCTCAAAGCTGTAAACAAAAACATACCATCTTTTCTACATGTGGAGGTTTCCTCAGTCATAGGGGTACCCCCTAAGAATGCAACTCGTTAGACCTGACCATGACTTCGTATATTTCAACCCCCCCTTGCCTGTGGATGGCGTTGCGGTCTTTGCGGCCTGAGCTATAGGCTGAGGCAGCGGCTGGGCAGGCTGGGCATGGATCCAAATGGGGGGTCCAATCCCAAACATCATAGACACATAGTTGGGTTATAGCAAAATCATGGAAGATTATAGCTGGTTGGTGTTTGAGCCACCCCTCTGAAAAATATGAGTCAGTTGGGATGATGACATTCCCAATATATTATGGAAAAATAAAACATGTTCCAAACCACCACACAATTTCCCACACAATTTCCGAAGTCGGCCTGCTCAGGGTTCGGAGCGAGGCCTTTTAGCCCGTCCGCTAAGCACAGTCAGTGCCGTGAAACAGCGCTTCATCCAACAGCGCAAATTTGGCCTGCCGCCGGGCCAGAGGTAAGGCCTCCAAGGCTCTCGTTCCTCTGCAGCAAGGCCCTTTGCAGGCAGTTGCTATCCAATGCTCTGCTCCACTCCAGCTAAAATAGCACCACCGAATGGAGGCTGCGTTGACGAAACTTTGTATGGAATCCCCTTCCACTTTGCAAGCGTTCATTCCAACAGTTTGGCCAGTAAGCTTCCAAAACATTTTCAAGCAACGCCTGAACCATTTGAGGCGCACCAAAAACGGATGCCGCTCCGGGTCCAAATAGGGCCTGGTCTGCGCGTCCAACCACTGAGCTCCATGCTTCACCGGTCCTGGGCAACCAAATGTAAGTTGGTAATCAACGTACAAATGCGCGAAGCTGATCCAGCGGGTCTCACCAGCATCATCACTGGTTGTCCGAGCCTGCCACCATCTGCAAATCCGACGCGCCAAGCCGGCTCCGTATGCAGTTGCAAACTTCAAAGGGATGTCGCCTCTCCACGCAGCAGTGTTGAACTCCACAGGGAAAATGCGCAACTGTCGAGGTTGCGCAATAGGCACCTCATCCAGCGTCACCTGTGCCTCTGTTTGTACACTGCGGCGGGCAACTGCAATGTGCAGGGCGCATACCTGTTCGTGCAAAACTCTGGCCGCCATCGTCTGGTCCACGTGGAGCTTCCATTGATCCCAAAACTGCGGCGACCTGTCAAGGTTGGCGTGCTTGGCCACTCCATCCACAACGTTGTTATGCCAGAATTGCCAAACCTCAGTGCGGCTCTTCGCCTGGTGCAACTTCCGATGGGCTGGGATCTTCACAACCTCGCATCCATCTGTACCCAACATAGCAACTGACGCCAGCACCCATGTCCAAAGGTCAGCGCTGGCAGAGTTAGGTTTGAGCGCAGTTCTTCCCGAGGTGAGCCGGTGGTATTTGTTTACTACCCCCAAACAATCACAGCACACTTTTACCCTGAAAGCCCCTAGCGCTGCATGGTGGAGGATGACGGCCAACGCAAACAACTCACCACGGTAGGAGGTTTGGCAAAGTCCAGGGACATGGCCCGCACCCAGAACGCCACCACAACTGAAATTCCACACAGGGGAACACGGATCAGCAAGGATGGCAGCCCACGACGCAACACGGAAGGCAGGGTCCGCTTGCCACAGACAAGAACCGTCAGTGAAAACGTGATTGAGGACACCAGGTTTGAACGCACACGCCAGGGACGGGACCGCACAGGGCACAGAGTCCAACAAACGGAGCCACGCAAGGTGAGTGGGCGGGTAAATAGCCCAGCTGCGCAAGACCATGGCTTCCGGGAGCAAATCCAAAAGAGGGAGCACATCAGGAGCCAAGCTGGTGCGTAAGTCCAAGGTGTTGGGGCATTCGAAGTATCGGTGGCGCAGGGAGTCCAGCTGACCACACCACTTGCAGGAGCCTGTACCTTCATTCCAGTGCACGTGGGCATCTTGGGTGAAAAGGCCCCCGGCCAGGCTAAGGCGGAGCATTGATTGATCATCAACAGCCAGGCGATTGATGGCTTGACGTGTGGTGGTGGTGTCAACCATGTCAAGACCATGAAAATCTTTGCGGTGAGAGACTGCCGCACAGACATACTGGTGCCATTGCCATTGCAGCCTGTGGCATAGTTCAGCAAAGTTGACATGAGCTGGATGGAAAAGGCCAATTCGATCTTCCCAGTGCCCTGTGGGTTTGATGGCAATGCCAACTTTCTGGATGCGTCCAAGCAAAACAGCCGCCGGAGAAGATGGTGGACTGTTGGTGATGCCGGCTGCAAGTGGAAAAAGATCAGAAGCCCAAAAGTCCAGGGGGCAGTTAAGACGGGTCTCTCCTACCGTGCGGATCAGGGCAACAAACTCAGGATCCACATAGGCTTCAACAAGGCCAAGCAACAACATGGGATTGACACCAGGTTTGTCCATACTGAGAGCCTTATTTGCATGGCGTCTTTGGCATAACCAGGTGTTGTCACTGATCGGGGCACTCTCAACAGCAAAAAGGCCTCGTGGCCATGCCACAGTTCGCAGCGCCCGCAACTTGGACCGGTAGCTGGCACGGCTTTGGCGAAGCTGAGTCCAGAAAGGTGTCAGAGCATCAAGGCGACTGGTAACCGTGCTGTTGGTGTGCTGGCGTGAGAATGCCACGTGAGCGCCCAGGTCTTTGGCCGCATGTTTGACCGGGATTCCAAGCGACCTCAGGTTGGCTCTGACCTCGGCTGAGGTGGACCAGGCGTACGTTTTCTGGCGGTCAACTGTCAGGTCGGCCAGGCTGGCAAATTCAAGAAGTGCATCCAACTGCTGTGTAGCGGCTTGGGCATTCCAGGTGATGAAATCCCAATTGTCCACAAAGCTTAGCACCCTCAGCAATGGGTATTGCGCTGCTATGTAGCGGTGCATGATGTCATCCATGATCAACATGCCATAGCAGCTGAGGGCACAGCCTTCTGCAAGTCCGGTGCTGGTGGTGAAGCCAGTGCTGTATGAGTCACGCACCTTGAACCTACGTGTCATGGCGGCCAAGGCCCCACACCAGGCTGTCATGGTAGACAACGGTGTGCCGACTTGCAGGGCTGCGGCGATGATGGGATACCGCGGGAGGCAATTGAAACATTTCTCTATGTCAGCTGTCAAGCCGCTCAAGCACTGATTCTGGTCATAGGCCTGCTGAATGCTTGAGACCAAAACACGCCACAGCTGGCTGGTCTGATGACCCTTTCTGTTTCCATATATATCTGGATGGCACCACTGGTTGGCCTGATCCAGCATGCATCTGGCATGAAGGGAACTGAAAGCTCTGTAAACCATCGAGAAGATGGTTATGGGCCTGTAGTCTTGGGTGCTGGCTGCACCTTCTCTTTTTGCCAGTGACGCCACACTGCCGGTGACTGTCTGCAAAGGCCAACTTCCATCACTACAAGCTCGGTGGTATAGCTGGCACAAACTGGTCAGGCTGTTGCGGTCCAGGTGGAGGATATCTGCTCTGCTGACGCCATCTAAGCCGGTAGCAGCCTGGGACTTCTTGGAGGCAACTTCGGCACGCAGCAAGTCTGGTGTGATGTTTACTGGCACAAGGTCATGTCTGGGAAGGTGGTGTCGGGCAAACCTAACCAGCTGATCCCAGTGGCTGTGGGGGATGTCATCGTGTTTGCACCACCGAAGCTTCCACTGGGTATGGAATACGGCAAAAACTTCATCAAGTGCACCAACTGGCTGGGTGTGAGTGACTTGATGACCCACTTGCGCATCGGCAATGTCAGACAGGTACAATGTGTCGGCGGTGGCATGAATGATGGTGGTTGGCATATTCCCTACCACCACCGGATCTTGGGCATCAAACAAGACTGGCTGGTCAAGGAGTACCGCACTGTCCTCCGGTCTGATTTCAGCAACCTGGGCCTTTTTGGTGACCAAGAGGCTGGTCACAGGTTCTGGGGTAGGCCTTTTGGTGTCCTTGTAGATCAAGTTTTGATTTCGTTTGTGGGCACAAACTTTGGCTGCTTTCTTGGCGGCGTTCAACGTACGTTCAAAGGCTCGCAGCTCACCTTGAAAGGCTTCACACAATTGGCACGCATGGTTTGCATCAGGTGGAAGGGTCGGCACGGACGCAGGGTCTTGAAGTCCAATGCATTGCCGGGAAATCCACCATGCCTGGAAAGAGGGACCAAATCCAGTTGCCTTCAGGACACTGGCCCAAAGCATAGTGCCATGAAGTTGTTGGTTGGCAACAGCAGTGCCATAGTGATGCATGGCCCAGCGATGGTAATTGTGCAGTCTCCGCAGTTGACGTAGCCATCGGCTGTGCTGAACGTTGTAACCATGGAACGCAGGTTGGAAGTCACTGGAGCGGCCTTTGCGAGGCGGTGCTGCCCAGCCTCTGCGCACTAAGGGCTCAGTTCTTTGGCCTCGGCCCTGCATTTGGTATTGCCATTGTTCACCCAAGTGGTCTTTGGCCAATGCCTCTTTGGCTTGCCAGAGCTGCTTGTACACTTCCGTGGGGGAGCCTTCAGCAAAATCCACTGGCTGGTCAAGTGGCGGGACAACGTTCCACGGCACCGGCTTGGGCTTCGGCCACAGGTATCGTTTGGAAAGCGCACCATCCAAGGCAAAGAATGCTCGCAACACGGAGTGATCTGCAAAACGATCATGGTCAACGAAGGCACACCGAAAGAACGGCACCAACTCTGGCGAAATCCACAGCATGTCCTTGCGAGTACATCCCTTGCACGTCGGTTGAGGTTGGGTTCCAGTACGCAGGCATTCAAGGTCTTGGGCTTCACGCCAGCCTAGCTGGACCAGGCGCTGGAGAGCTGGGAGTTGGTCCATTTCATGGTTGAGGTCACCGCACAGATACCTTGGTCCAGAGGCAACCTGAGTCATATGGCTGATCAAAAATTCCAACATCTCGGAGGAACGGGCCAAAGCATTGTGGTGGACTTTGCCTTGTGGGTAGCCATACATGACTGCGCCTGTGATCCAGGTTTGATTGATGAACGTGCCAGTGATTTGAACTCGGCCGGTTTCAAAAAGGTCTTGGGGCCAGCAAGCGCAAAGTGCGCGGGCAGGAACTCGAGCTATGGTCGCAACTCCAGAGTATTGGCCAGCATCATTGGTGTTGATCCGAGCAGGCAAGGGGGAACCTGTGATCACATGACTATATTGGCTGTGCGACTTCAAGCTGTGTTGCAAAACGGAACGGGCAGTGGTTGTGAGGTGGGTTTCACAAACCGCTATGACATCTGTGTCGACTCCGGCAAGGAGTACGCTTTTTCCCTGTAACCCGGATGGGTTACAAACCCCGAGGGACCATGTGTCGCCAGCGGCTGCAGGACCTGGTGTCTTGGCTTCACCGATGCGGCACTCAGCACCCAAAAACATACTAAGGACAAGGAAAATCCATATGAAAAACCCTGGTGCTCGAAAGCGATGGTTCACCACAGGTTGGGTTGTGGCACTGTGGCTACCGGACCTTCATTCGAACCTGCCTTTCTTTGCAAGTATGGTCTCAAGCTTGTTCATTTGGTCCTCGAACATGTTGGACATGTGGGTACGTTGCACCTCCATTTGGGACATCATCTGGGCTTGCAAGGTCTGAACCTGTGCAGAGTGCTGGCGATGGTTTTCGGCCACTGTCCCCTCCAACGCCTGGTGGCGTGACGCAAGGTGCTGCATCTGCTTCTCCAACGTCTGCAGGCGATCTTCAGTGTCGTCTGTTTCCATGCGATCCATGGGAAGCTTCTCCATGATGCTGCGTTCCAGGCGCTCCTCCAGCTCCTGGAGCTGTGGGGTCATGGTAGGCGCAGGTGGGGCAGGCATTTTTGTCAAGGCCTGTTGCCATGGATCGTGGACTATCCACGGGTCCTGGGCACTGGTGGATGAGCACAGTTCGATGGTGCTCTGCGGACCAATCACCGTGCCATGCTCTGCCATGCCTTCCCGGACGGAGTCGCAACGTGAGATCATCACCTGGCCATGTTGCATGTTGTACACCAGCTGTGGAGGATCTGTCACCGATTGAACAAGCCACATCACGCCACCGGAAATTGGTCGGGCAGGTTGGAGAGGTCTCGCCTGCCAAGCCCGCTCAGCAAAGACACGGCCGATGGACTTACGGTCGCTGCCATATGGGAATGGGCCGCATTGCCAAGTAAGCCTCGTACCTGGAGACAAAAACTGTCCTTCCGGCTTCAGCTTCTGGAACACTTGCTGAAAGTTCTTGGCAGTGACTCGAAGTCCATATCGCCGGCCGGATCTTGCAAGGCCAAGGCTCATCGGCTCGCATTTGGACTGGTGCTGGGCGGTGGCAAAGTCGGCCTGTGGGAGCCATACGACCTGGTACTCATCTGTCGGGGCGGAAGCATCTGGCAACCTGGGCTCAAGATACACTCCATGTAGTCCGGACAGCTGCAAAAGTGCCAGTTCCTGGGACTTAAGGTATCTGACCTGGACGCTGAAATGGCTTGCCTGCGCATGTTTGGTTGGTCGACCTGAGTCCGTGAAAAACTGCCGGCGAAACACATCAAGCAAGGCATCTTGGGCTGAGTCAGAACCTGTCGGGTGCCATTTGCCGCATTGACAGCTGTCATCTCTGCACGTCTGCAATGGCGGAAGGGTCTGCAAAACCTGCTTGAACGGATGATCTGCCAGACTGGACCAGTCTTGGGGCCACTGGTCGGCAAACACTGTGATGCGGGCACATGCGACAGGGACATCTTGGACTGTGGGACCACCATGCGTGAAGACAGGGACAATTGGCTGTACACCAAGTTGGACCAAATGACCTGACAGCAACACTGGTTGGTTATTGACTGCACAGCAAGCTGCAAACCGGATTGTGGACCATTGCAAAGTGGTGTGCAGCTCATCGGGTCCATTAATCACCAAAATGGCGAGGCATTTGTTGGTCAGTGTCTGGCCTGATTGCAAAAATGGCTTGGCTTCAGGAAAGGACATCAAGGCAACGCCAACTGCAAGTGGTCCTACCTGGGATGCGGCAACTTGTGGGGCAGGAGCTCCAGCTTCCATTTGAAAAGATGCATCAGCCAAAGTCAATTTGGCTGGGTCAATGTCCATTGGCTTGGACGGCATGACCTTTGGGCCAGAGGCTTTGGGGGTGGCCTTCTTCGTCTTGCGTTCCTGCATGACTGCGTTCAATTCGTCTGGCATGACAAGTTGCAGTACTGGCTTCTGCTGGTTTGCCAATGATTTCAGAGTCCTCCAGGGTGCAACTCCTTGCAACGCATTCCTCACTGCATCTTGGCCGAGGCTTTGCAACACCAATTTGGCTCTGGTCGGGGCTGCTTGGCTTGGAACTCCATGTTGTTGCAAAAGCGCGCTAAGCACGGTTGTGGCATCTGTCACTCCTGCACCCCAGCACCACGGTCTCGGCACTTGGTTGAAGCCTTCCAATGACTGTCGAAAAGCCTCACGGAGTTCATCTGCTGCATTTTGCAACTGAGCGGCTGTTTCTGGCAGGTTGGAACCGGTCAAGCGATGCTGCAGAAAGGCAATGGCGGCTGCACCACAGTTTTGATCTCCGAACTGACGGCGAGTGCAGGACACATGAAAATGTGGCAACCCCAAAACTGAGCTCAAAAGTCCATGGAGGCAATTCAGGCCATTGATGTCCACATCGTCATGTTCCCATATGATGACTTCCAAAACCGTCGGCCTCACAATCCACATGCAGGGAGTCCAATGGCCATCAAGCAGAACAACGGATGCAATGCGACTGAATCTTGGCTGCATGGAGGCCCAATACTGTACTGCAGCAGGTGTGCCTGCGGTGAGCCATGTGTGTGCAATCAAAGGATCCAGGATGGCAGTTTCTTTGGGTTTCTGGATGGCAATGGCACTCAAATGCCACCAAACTTCATCATCAGCCCATGCATGTGCCTGATTGTCTAACAGGGAGATTCTCGTGCCAACAGGGACCGTGGGACGACGCATGGAGCTGCAGAGTTCAACATCCGGTACCAACGGAGGTAGCATCGCCAACAGTTGAGGGGCACGCAAATCCAACAATCCATTGACAGTGGAGTCAAAAGGGCACGCAGAAGACGGAACCAAAAGGCCGGAGTCTGAGCCGCGGGAGTCGATGGTCTCAGGACGGTTCTCAAACATATCTTGTTCCGAGGACAAGTCCATCTGCGTGACAGCATTCAGATCTGGAGCATCCTGCGGCATCTCATCACCTCCAAACGACGGGTCATTGGGGTACAAGTCCTCATACTTGCCAATGGTGAGACGGGGAAACAGGGACAGCTTGGCTTCATGAGTAGTGAGGTTATTCTCATCATCTTTGACCCAAATTTCATCCAGGGGGATTGCATGAAGGCGTCCATGTGCCAAGATCAAGTCCTTGACAACCGCAGTTGGGGGGAACACCAAAGTCCATGCACTGAGTCCTGGCTCCTGGATGGTGATGGCACATCTGTCAGGGGCAATGGGCTGGCGTGGGACATTCGGGAAGAGCTCACGTCCTTGGGTCATGACTTCATGTTTCAAAGCCTGGAGCAGTTCATTGGGATCTGCAGGGGTGGCATCAGTGAACAACATGTGCATGTGACGTGCCAGTGATGCTGCCAGCCAAATTGAGTGCATTGGGCATGCCATCTGTCCTATCGCACACAGATTGAGCCGTTGGTTGCTTCCCCAAGGGAGGTTCAAAGGGACCCCATTCAGCAAAGAAACTTCCAGCACGTGCAAATGTCTCCAAGCACCTGCCTGTCCGTCAATGGCTGGAAGCTGCAAAAGTTGTGCATAGATGCCTTTGGTGGTCAGAAGTTCATCACTGAAACCAGTCGGCCTGCATTCACACTCACATGGCTGTGTCTGGTTGCCCCATGAGTGAAGTGCTGTCGGAAGCTTGATGTCGGGCCTGACCTGATGTTGCCTGAGTGATTGCCCACCCAATTGGAAACGTTCAAGTTCCGGTCCTTGCAACAGAAGTTGAGTTTCGTCGCTCGAAGGCCATCGATGCACATACGGCATAAGGTCTCTGACCACTAGCGAGGAGCCTGTGGGAAAGGCTGGGATCTTCACAGGTCCGATGCAAGGGTGTGTGGCAATGACCCACCAGCGATATCGGCAAGCTGACCAAACATTTTCAAGGCGCAGCGAACATTCAACAACATGGTATCCAAGCTGATCCACCAAGGCCTGCAAATGGCTACGGACGTACATGTTGTCTCTGGCTGGCACTACACATTCGATGATCAACGCGGGAGACTGAAGCAGGTACATCATACGAAGAGTGCCAGGAAGTGATGAAGATCTGCTGTCCTGTTGTCCTCGCTGTGAGCCACCTCTTGAGAACGGTTGACATGCTATGCCGGACATGATGGTGCAAGGGTCAGGGCAATGTGCAAAAACCAGGCTGGCAGTTGTGTCATGGGTGACGTCTGCACATACGATTGGAACCCCAGGGTGCAGTTGGCTGTGAAGTTCAGCGAGCTTTGGCTGTCGTTCAACGGAGCACCTGTGTCGAAAACCGGCACGGGAAAATCCAATGGACGAAATCCCAACACCTGAGCACAACTCAACAAGGTTGAAGACATGGTCAGCAGACAGAGATCGGTGAGCCAAAACCAAACTGGTGTCGTCCAGAACCAAGTCAACCACCGGGCCAGCAGACAAGAAGGACGCAGACAAAACGGTGACTTTGGATGCGCTAGTGACCTCAGGGGGGATAAGTCCTACCAATCTTACCACCTGCTCCCCGGGTACCACCTTTCCCACACCAGAGTTCTGCGCCCAAATGAGATTGTCAATGACCACAGACACCGGAGCCCCATTGCATAGACATGACCATTGTGGTCTGAACAGCGTATCTAAACAAGTTTGTTCGGATGAACCAGACATTGGGTTACAACCTCCCAAACATCAGCTAGCGAAGCCGCCCGTCTGTCACGGTTTTGGGCCAGGGCTGTTCCAAACCACCAACCAGTTATAGTCTGATTGCTTATAGAAGGATGAAATCGTGCCAAAGAATTGGGCTAGACTAATCAATAGTGAATAAACCCTTGATTATAGTGCCCCCGGGAAAAAAAAACAATTATAAACCACTTTACTAAATTACAATAAGTTTGTAAGTGAATTATGGCTATAATTCATACAAATAGGTAAACACATATGGTTATAATATATTATAATATGTTATAATAACAAATAAACGAATCCAGCTTCTCCCAATGTATGAAGGGGATTATAGAAGCTTACTCTTCATGATACACATTGTTTGGCGATAAAGATCAGGCGGCCTGAGCCGGCCTGCAAGGCGATCAAGATCAGTTGAGGGATAACAAACTCTCACCCATGGCCGAGGTTTCCTAATATAGGGCTACCCCATGCCACCCCCAGTTCTCATCCATTTATAGATGGTTTATAACCCTTATAAACCATCCATGAGTGGGGGTACCCCTATGACCATGAACACCTCCAAAGTGCATTGGTTTCCGCAACAAAGACCACCGGGCGTCCGAACAGCCATGTGCCAAGAGAGCCATGATTGTGGATCATCGCACAACAGCGGACGTTTTTTAAATTCCGTGGATTGGTCTGGGTATTTCTAGCGGATCCCTGCCATCAACCAATTGAACCAGAAATAGAATGTGGGGGTTCCGAAGAGTAGCTTGACAAAGGCTTACGGGAAAATCAAACCTGGAAACATGCAGGTTTTGACCACCAAATGTGGGGGTTTCATGTTTTTTTCTAAAGTTTACTGTTTCAATGTTCCCATCAGGGAAAAAAAAGTGTGAGAATCATGGCAAATCACGTCATACATTTTTGTGTGTTTCAGACATATTGTTGGTAAATTCACAGTGTGCTTTAAACGTATGGAAACCAAATCACAAAGCTGAACACTTTGAACATTGGACCCGGGATCCTGGAGATTTTGAAGGTTCATATGATTTCATGGTGATCTTCTCCAGGCCTTTGATTCTCTCTGAGTCATTCCAAGGCACTTGGGCTACCGAGAGCTCCCCAAAGCAGTAGCTTCCTCCTCCTAACCACTAAGCATAGAAAATACGAGTACCTTGAAACCAATCCAGATCTGTGACCTGGCTTACTGGCCTACTCTTTCTGATCGTTTGGTCCGGCCGTGTTTCCAGAAACCGCATTGGGTCCGGTTGATGGCGCTTGAATGAACACCGCAGCTGGAGCCCAAGATTTCAGCGACAAGAATGGATTGCTAAGGATGTATGGATAAATAATTTATGGCGCCCAGGAAAAAAAAGGCATCCATGTTGTCCCAGAAAATTTTGGTCTCCATCCATGTTTGAAAGTCATGAAATGTTGAGCGACCGTACTCTTGGTCAAATTTTGACACCTCTTGGGGCAAGCGTGGCGTATCTTTTTACACCAGAGCCATATGCTCCACGGAAGATTAGCAATATGAACCCTAAACATCACCCCGTCATGTTGGAACAGTGTCCATACCAGGGTCTGTCTAAAACTAGGGCACCCCAATTTTGATGTGTTTTCATCATCTGTAATTAGTAAATAATTGTTTTGGGGGGATACCCCATTTTCAGATTAATCCAAATGGAGCAGGTGGAAGACTTCAAATATCAACAGCTCCGTTTTTTCTGTGCCTTTTGTCATTTGCTCCGGACGGCGCTTCTTACGCCATCGCATACAAGTCCTTTCGGTGAGACGATCGTGCGTGCCTTTCGGTCCACAGATGAATCGGGCCAACAAACGCTTAAACCAACTGCAAGATACCTTCAAGAGGGGTCTCTGTTTGCATTTAGAACCCCATCCTACCAAACATATCCACCATAAGACCATAAATTCAATCATTAATGAGATGAAAAGGAAACCGAACATACCTATCTGGCAATGTTCAACCATTTTCAAAAATCTCTGACCAGGAGTAGACTTCCACAAGTCATAACGAACTGGCATATGTTTGGGGAAATTCCACCATTAGGAGTTTTTGAACATTGTTAATAGGTACACAATATAAGGTGTGTTACGTAACGTACAATGGTTGATTTAGTTATAGAACATAACTTACCCACAGGATCCATGTATGCTATATATGGTAACATTTACCATCAATATACCCCCAATGTTAGCATATACCATACATGGATCCTATGGGTTAAGACACAATAACTGAGGTCTGTTTCTGCCTTTCCTTTTTTTGCCGTGACAGTGGCCTCTGAAACTGCAGGACCTGCTGGAATTCGTAAAAAACATCGCTGGCGCAAGCACTGAGGGCCGCGGGAAGCATGTTCAAAAAAACATTGAACACTTTGGGTCTGTCTGACTGTCTGAAAATGTTAGGGAAAATCCAACAATTTGGACCGTTTAGAACTTTAGAATGTTCCTGGTGAATTGATGCCATTTGGGGGCAACATGGGGCAACCATGTGTATGTATATATATATTATCATATATATATTATATATATATATCATATATCATATAGTATACCCTATTTTCAGAGACATCCACATGGACTTCTGACACAATTTCTGACACATCAATTGCTCATTCATTGTCAAACGACTGGCATCTGGACCCCCAAAGCTGCCTCTGCTTCAGGAAGGATGACTCAGCGATAAAGGCATGTTTCACCTGCCAATCGCACCACTGGTTCTTGCTGTTATGGCCGGTTTTCCCCACATATGCCGCATATATGTTCGTTTACAGGAGGGTAATCTCCTTGAACAGCTTGTCTTTTCTTTCTGATCATATGAACAAATGTTTCTCACACACCTCCTTTTGTAAACAGCATGCAGGAGTCGACACGCAGCAAGTACCAAGATCATTCCTGCATTTCCCCAGAAACATCAGCTTTTGGGCTTTAACCACGATTCAACCATCACGATTTGATATTCTACCTGCCAGAAGTCGAAAATACCTTTCAAAAGAACATTGTTCTTGGGTGGTTTTCACACCCAGCTATGCCTTTCATCGCCGTAGTCGGCACCTGTCAAGACAGCGTGGAATCATGGAAGTGTTCATAACAATAAAAATCCAATTCTTGCTGATGACATCCAAAATCAAATTCTATTCGTGTTGCATGTGTTATTTTTGCATGATTTTCCTTCAATCCGCAGTTTTGATGTAAATCACCACTCGTGTTTATCAAGTTCCCCATTTTCATCATTGAAATATCCCCATTGCTGCTGTTTCAAGCTCATGCTATTTATATAATGCTGATTCCAAATACGATGACTGGTTGGTGGATTGAACACCTCTGAAAAATATGAGTTCGTCAGTTGGGATTATGATTCCATATGATTCCCAATAGATGGAAAGTCATAATCCAGATGTTCCAAAGCACCAACCAGATGACATCTGTATGTGGTTGGGCAACTCTTGGTAGCTCCAAACCGCCTCCATATTTCATGGGGAATATGAAAACCCATAGCTCCAAATCGCTCCCTCCTAACCACTGGATTTTTCATGATGCTTCAACCCTCCCATGGTTCTCCATCCCAGACGTCCCAGACCCCGGGGGTCAGGCCCCGCCCCTGGGCTTCCGGGCAGAAAGCCTCGATGTGCGGCTCCCGTGCTGCCCAGTGGGACGGCCTGCAAAATCCATGGGAAACCCAGGGGAAAATCATGGGAAATCCATGGAGGTTTCATGATGTTAAATGGTTTGTATGGTTTTTTTAAAAAATGGGATTTACTTAAAAACAATAATATATCATGGATTTTGAATGGGATTACTCTTATATATATATATATAAGGGATTTTGAATGGGATGTTACTCAAAAACCAATAAGGACTTCACTATCAAACGGAATTGGTCATTACCCTCCCGCAATCGGGACGCAAGCTAAGGAATCCCGGGAAAAATCATCGGACTTTGATGACCGGAGAGTAATAGGTTTTGATCCATAGCCAGATGAGCTTTTTGGCCCCCTCCCAGTTGAAAAAACATGTTTAAATCCCCTATGTCTAAATAATTGAATACAAATTTTGAACACTGCAAGGAATGGTTTGGATGCTATTAAAAGAGGTATATAAATGCCTACGAATGGATCCATGACCAATTGACTCCCAAAATGTCGGCAATTTACCCGAAACCTAAAGTTTGACCGCTGGAGACAAATGGGGGTTTCCTAAAATAGGGGTACCCCCAAATCATCCATTTATAGATGGATTTTCCACTAGAAACTCAACTGTCCATTTTGGGGTGCCCGATTTATGGAACCCCCCAAAATGGCTTTGGATGGTAAAATAATATGGTATACTCGGTGGCTCATCCCAGGAATCGTAAGTGGGATATAACCCCAGTTATAAATGGGATAAGTAGGGTTAATCCACTTATGATTGGGCTTATAACCCACTTACGAGCCGTGGGATGCCCATGTTTCCCAATCCACCATCGATCATCGCGCCGCGATTTCCGCGCGCCTTCTGCTTGTTGCTTCGATCGAACACACCTCGCTCTTCAGGGAAGAAGCCCTCCTCGGTGTGACTGAAAAAGGTGCTGACCCCAAAGCTGCAAGGGTTACCGTAACGGTTGCCCTCCAGTAGACTAACATGTAACATATATAGAATATCGAAAACACAATTTTAATATACTGTAGGTAAATCATTGCATGGCTATTCTCATATTAGTTTACGAAAGGGTAAATGGATATTTGAATGGAGAGTTCCTAAAATGGAGGATCCCAAAGTCATCCAAAATTGGTCATGTTTGATGGATGGGTAAATACATGTAGATACCAGGAATGGAAGTCATATAGAAATTTGGTTCCCCCATTTTTTTTAGCCGCATACCCAAACTAATTGAAAGACAAAAATCACCAGCATGCAGAAAATGCGAAGTGCACGAAAGTGCCAGGCGTCACACTGTTCGACTGTTCGACGTGGTAACATAGCCATTTAAATGGTCTACTTGGTGGTTCATCCCACGGCTCGTAAGTGGGTTATAACCCCAAGTATAAGTGGACTGACCCTACTTATCCCATTTATAATTGGGGTTATATCCCAATTACTAACTGGGAGGAGCCACCAAGTAAGTGTCTCCTGCTCGACATCCTAATAATCGCTGGGTGTTAGCCCTGGACGGTCTAATCCAAGATTGATGGCCAGGGTGTTGTAACTTACGCTCACTGATGCCACCTGCTCGCAATGCTGTGTGCAATTCATGAAAACGTTTGCGATTCCAATCTTCTACCACAACAATTACCTTTCATCTGCTAAGGTTTGTGGGGAATTCTGCTGTAAATGTAAATGATAATTGGTCATTGCCATGTGGCCATGTGTAATTTGTCATCCATCTTGGTGTCTTTGTTCAACCCCGCGCTGCCATAGAACGAAACATTCACCGTCTATTGGCCCAATGGATGGTCAAGATGCCTGCGCTGTATGTAATCGCCTTGTTCCATTGGGGGTATATAGACCATCCATTTTAACACGGAGAAAATCACAAACCAGGCAGAAATACAGTTATACATAACATATTAGAACTGGTTGGGTGCCCTTTGATACTTGGGAAACGAAACCTTCTCATAGACTTTAAGTCGTTGGTTATTCTTGTCCACTGAGGAAGCACAAGCCTGATCCCTTCAACTTGGAAGGTCCCTGAATGTAGGCCACCCAGGCCCCCCCACGTCTTCGACTCCACTAAGAGGTGCTCGTCCCTGCCGGCGACGCCTGGAGCAAGGTGGGGTCCCTCAGAGATCTTTGTTGGTATATAGAACCCAAGGGTTACCATGATTACTATGGTTATAAGTATGGCTAAGTTGGGTTACAACTCCAAAAACTATATATAACTATATAACCTATAAATATAGTATCACTTTTGAGATAACTATGATAACTATGATACTATGATAGTTTTGTGATATATAATTATATATTATCTATGATACTTTTAAGTTATAAGTATCACTTAAAATATCACCAACCATAGTGAAATTGGAGTTGTGTTCACCAATTTAGCCATTGTTTTTTTGGGACCCCACATTGAATTGAAGGGTAAGAATTGCAAACATGTTGTTGTTTTGTGATCATCGAACGTGATGGTTTTGCTCGGAAAAACCATGGAGATTTAAGCACAGAAGCATTGCTATTTGGAGGGTGTCTGAATATGGGATATGCCACCAAAATAGCAATTTTATATCATAGAGAAAAGGTTACTGTAGGATCTATTGGAGTTCCGGGCTGCGATACCTTATTTCCAGACCAAATCGAATATCTTTGTAGAGTTCAAGAAGTAGCCGAAGTTCATACTGTTTTTTTTTCCGGGAGTTGTTTCCTGCGGGCACCTCTCTTCTGATATGCAACCTTGCTTCTCTCTTGGGCTGCTGCATGCTAAGAATATGAACAGAATCAATATCCTAACCCAAATTTCAACAACCTGGACCCTCATTCACCCACCAACAATTGGTGCTTACCCAAACAAAAGAATTGCGTGGTTCCCTATGTTTCAAAGGTACAGCTGGGGATCCAGGTCCTATTTTGTTTAGCTGCTTAGATCTGCTGAGTACGTATATTCCCATTCGTGGCAAACGATTGCAATAGAGTATTGGACTAAATTATCCATCCAAGCTTGACGCACGACATCGGAACAATACTTTCAGTACTCCATCCCTCGATCATATGAGAAATATCACCAATTAAGGAATCTGAAAATTAATAGATCCAAAACAAAACACCACGGGTTTCATTTGGGAGATCCCCATGTTTGATCCATAAACCCCAATTGTTGATAGTTACAACGTAGGCCCCTAGTTATAAGTTGGTGTGCAACCCCGACGAACACTAGTTCGTTAGAAGTATCATGGTTACCATGGTGAAATTGGAGTAACGTATCCACCAACATCCAACTTAGCTATCATGAATCAGCTCTAAATCCCATTAAAATCCATTTAGATCTTCATTTTCCCCATATTTTCCCATGGTTTTCCCATTGAATCCCCATTGTCCATCACTTTCCCATGCTTTCTATCGTAGCTGCCTTCGGAGGTCGGTATGTCTGCCGGCTCCTGGAGAGCTGGTCATGTACAGCCACGATTTGACCAGAAATGGGAAGTTTGAACTGATTTGAACCTGGTTGGTGGTTTCAATCCCTCCGAAAAAATATGAAAGTCAGTTGGGATGGTTAGTCCCAAAATATGGAACAAAACATGTTCCAAACCACCAACCAGTAAACTATTCATGAGAGTTGCGAAACTTGGATATAACCACATGACATAGTGTTGGACTTTTTCGCTTTGTGACCCTGAGAGTATTGGGTTAATATGGATTTACAAGCCGGTTTACAACTAACTTCTAGGGTTTATCCACTTCTATGGGTTGTCATTGGGTTTGTGGGGCTTAAAATTTAAAATTGATGGATATAAACACACTTTAAGTGACAAATCATTTGTAACCAGCCGACATCATAAAAATGAAAATAAATAAATAGACAATACAACAGGTTGTACACTAGTAACCACTTGTAACTGGAATAGGTATGATAAAGACATGTATTATAATGTATATATATATATATAATATGTAAACACACAACTGGGTTATGATAAGTGGGTTCTGCATGAACTGCAATTTGCACCACAAGTGAACGAGTAGGTACAGTGGGTGGGTTATATACCCCCAAAAATGATCACAACTATATAGACTATATATATATATATATATATATATTGGACATGTCTTCAATGAAATGATCCTGGTGCTCCATAAGAGATATGAATCCGTCAAAATGGGTGTTTAGCGATGCGGTACCCTCTTTTTTCAACCTACAAACACTTTGGTAAACTCTTTGGAAAATGATCTCCATTACTGGTGGTAAATATCCATAGCCATCTTGAATTACCAGAGGGTAACCCAAAAAGAACATCATTCAAATTATATAGTTTTTGAAACCCAAAATAACCCAAAAAAGTAACCCAAAATTGCCAGATTAGCAACAAATTATATAGTTTTTGAAAATACTGTCAAAAATAATGAGTGGTTGAAGTAGCGACGACGTCAACATTGTCTGTTGCTTCCCAGCCGTCCAGCAGTTAACCTAGTCTGACCAGTCCAACCAGGATGAAAATTGTTGTCCTCTCTAGCTTATCTGATTGGCAAACATTATCGGTACCATCCACCCAAAAAAACATGCACGTGATTAGTGTATCATATTGTTTGCACAAATATATATATATAATGTAGTATGGCAAATATTATATATATATTATACAATATATAATATTTGTTTGTTTGTTTATTCTTGAAATTTAAAATATAATCATATGACTGCAAACCCCAAATATGCATAGTTTACCAAAATGTCCCCAATTCAATGGCACCTTTGGATATCTCGAATTATGAACAAACAACGCATGCATCTCCCATCCACGCCTCCATGTTGAAGGGGCCTGGGTGGGTCCGGCCAACCGAATCAGGGGGACTGGAAAAACGGCAGTTGATCCTCTGCCAAAAAAAACTGTGTCTGATATGTATAGAATCATGTTGGGAATCAAACAACACCCCATTCAACAATGAGCAACTGAAGGGATGGCCAAGCAGCCACCCAGCAAGCGGAGTCAGAAGTGAGTGAAGGTTTACTCGTGCCAAAAAAGGATCCAACATTAACAAAAAATTAGGGGCCGACCCACTGTAACAAAACTAGGTCTTCCACAAACTGAATGTGATGGTGGGCAACAACTAGTGGGGTTTCAGCATTTCATCCCGCCGCAGGGAACATCGCCCCATTGTGGCTGACTTGTCCGTCTATGTCCAACGTATTTGTCGGTTATGATAGCAACAAAAGGCCACCATGCCGCCAAAAGTCTCACTTCATCTTTGTTTCAGTCCAACTCTTTGGGTTCAGCGTCTCTCAATTTCAAACAATATACCGAGTCAACAGCAAAGAATTGATGAGCAATTGCTGGTTGAACATGGTTGAACGAACGAAAAACTACGGGTTTGATTTAAATCCCCATCTCTGGCGTTATATCACCAAAAGGCACTTGTAGCTGATTAGCCTATATCCCCATTGAAGTGGTTAACAAGGAGACACAGAAACATTAGTGACCAAGGTTTACCCAAGTCACGGCTGAAAAGAATTCACACAATCAAAGCGGGCAGATGTAAGGAAGCATATCCTGGAAAACAACGTCGCTTTATGTGCTGGTGCGCCATATCTTCCCAAGCGTGGTAATCCTTGAGGCGATTTTAACTTCAACTTTGCGCAGCGCGCTGTCGAAACGGACGTCCTTGCCAAAGCCCTTGCGCTCTGATTTCCCTAATGGCACACCCATGAAAAGCAAGCAAAACATCGTCCGTCGTCCGATTGCTTACGTTTGGCCAAGCGCTCAGTCACATTTGGCGAGCAGCCGCTTCCATTCAGCTTGATCACATGTTCGCATCAACCTGTCGCCTTTGCACTGCCAATGTGCGCGTATGGCTGAACCTGGGTTAAGGCTTCATCGTGTCGAAACGTAACTGCGTCTTGCTCCTTCACTTGTTCTTGCCACGTATCCAGCTGCTACTTCAAGTACCAAACTGATCCTAGATGGAGGTTTTGTAGCATACACAAAACAATTCTTTGGGGAATACTGCCTTCTGTAGCCATAATAAGTGGTTCTATGCCAGCCGTTGACCAGTTATCGAATTCCGTGGCCATCAAATAGATCTGCACTCGCATTCATTGGCTACTAGTTGCATACCAAATATCCTTGATTCCAATCCGTAATCCCTGTTATGCAGGTTTGCCAGGGTAATCCAGTCAATCCGCAATCCCATGACATGTGTGCAACTTTATGTGTGTGGCTATTCTGTTCTGATTCTTAGGAAACTTTGCGCCGCAGAGATTATTCTGCATGTCATGTCAGCCACAATAACACCGACAAGGGTGTTTTGGAGTCTGAAGATGCTATCCTGGTATATCCTGGTGCTATTTCACGCTAGGGATTCTTTCGCATGTTAGCGAAAATAACCCCGAAAAGCTTCATATTTTCTAGGGATATTCCCTTACATAGGCCTAAAAAATACGCCATATATATGGAATCGGTACCTCCAATCAATCGGTTCCTGAAATGTCCGTTGACGGCCCTGGCACCAAAAATCTCTATGTCCAAGCCCCAAGGCGATGCCGCACCGGGGTGTTCTCTGGGTTGAAGTATAGATATACCGACCATGAACCCTACAATGTGAGGCTCCCAAGATACCTAAGTTGGTGCACATAACTTCAATAACTATGGTTTATGGTATTTATAACTATAGTTACTGGGGCGAATCTAAACCAATTTAAAACTGGGGGGCCTCACATTGTAGTTAATCTAGTTATAAACCAACGACTAGCCTAGCATTTGGGGCACCATGAAAGTTAAGTCGGTATTGTTGATGCTGAAACTATTCATGAGAGTTACGAAAACTGGATTTAACCGCATGACATAGTGTTGGACTTTTTCGCTTTGTGACCCTGAGAGTATTGGGTTAATATGGATTTACAAGCCGGTTTACAACTAACTTCTAGGGTTTATCCACTTCTATGGGTTGTCATTGGGTTTGTGGGGCTTAAAATTTAAAATTGATGGATATAAACACACTTTAAGTGACAAATCATTTGTAACCAGCCGACATCATAAAAATGAAAATAAATAAATAGACAATACAACAGGTTGTGCACTAGTAACCACTTGTAACTGGAATAGGTACGATAAAGACATATGTAAGGGGATATACCCCCAATTCATATGGCCAAAAATATGGTACTAACGTACCTCCATTTTGGGATCCTGGAATTCCCATTGATTATACCCTCTGGTAAAGTCAAGTTGAGGCTTGTTGAGGCTTATACCCTCTGGTAAACGTTTACACAACTGTAGAACATCACCATTTTGAATAAGTAAATCAACGAACTAAATGGGCTATGTTCAATAGCTCTGTTAGTCATTACCAGAGGGTATTGTTGATGCTTATCTACCTAGAAAATCCCAATGACTCATTTTACCCCTGGGTTAATAGTGGATTATCACTACCAGGTGGGTTGGTAAAATGAATCATCTGACTTTCAGGCTAAGTTGAGGCCGGCGCCGTATGCTGTGCAGATTCATCTTTCTCAGGGCCTTCGGCACATGGAGCACCGCCTTCAGAGGTGAAACTTGCGGCAGAATGAGCGGCTGGGATGAACAACAACAGTATGGCTAGCTCTATTTAGTTAAGTTATACACACAAATGTATGTATATGTATATGTATGTATGTATGTATATGTATATATATATTATAATATACATATATATATATATGGTACCCAGCAAGACCTACCTTATATGTATATATATATGTATATATATATATATATGTACGGATATAATTATATATATATATACAGTAGCAACAAGTACATATTCAGTGTATATTTCTATGATCTTATATGGATGTAAAAACAGAATCATATAGATATAGATGGATCCAAATGTACACATATGTAGATACACCACCCCTCATGGCTGGATTAACAGCTGTTACCTGTTCTGCAGTAAAAACTCTCGGAGGATTGGCAGGTTCTGGCACTGCCTTTCCGGATGCAGCTGGAGTTCGAGTGTGTGCTTTATTGGCCTTTGAGGCTCTTGCTGGGGCTTTCGCTGATTTTTCTGCAGCGGCAGCACTTGCAGTCTCTAAACCAGGTCCTTACATCCTGGGCTCCTGACACTTGGATTGTTTCTCCCATTTCTCCCACTTCTGGACGTTGAAATGTTGGGGGCTTTAAAACGGGGGGATGGTTTTTTGGAGAAAATGATCAGGAACGTCCGGAACCTTGTTTTAGCTTTTTAACGTCGACAGTAATGGCTCAGATTCTTCTGGCGAAATTCGAATATGAAAAACGATTTACCCTCTGGTAAACTAACATAACTATGGAAAATCACCATGTTCAATGGGAAAATCCACTATTAATGGCCATTTTCAATAGCTATTTTGACATAACCAGAGGGTAACCTTTTCAAAGTTCGGCCATGGCTGAGGATTATTCCCCAGAGCACCATGAATCCCGAGAGGTCACTAGAATTTGGGGGGTCACATGTCGAGGGTCCCGAATATGCATGTAAGAACTACCCTGGGGTTATATAATATATCAATGGGAATTTCAGGAACCTAAATTCCAGGTACCTACCATATATAAGGCCTATTTTTTAGGCCAGAAAATTTCAGGGAATATCCCCACAATTCATATGGCCTTTTATGGTACAGTAATTACCTCTATAGCTACCATAGCTATGAAAGCCCGCATGATTTCCGCAGGGGAACGACTGTTCGCCGCTTCGCCTCCACGGCCAGATTTCAGGTAGCCATAGCTGGCATAGCTAAGCTAATATGCTGTTGATATATCTCATTCCAAACACCAAAATGGGCAAATTAAATTGAAAAAATGAGGTATATCAACAGGTTAAAAAGATGTATAACTACGGTATAACCATAACCATATCATTCTAACCTGGTGTGTACTTTCCTTTCCCCCCGAAGTTTCACACCTCCTTTCTATGGTCCCACTCATACGCGATTTCATTTTGTGTTATGTAAGCCATGGTTCCCTTGGGGGTGTTTCATATGAAGGGGGGATAACTTCACAACTTTGTATACCTATTGACCTTATCATGGTACAATATGATGTGTACATTGTTTTCATGTGTGTGTGCAATGTAATGTAATGTAATGTCATGTATACATATGCACAATATGTGAAATGTAATGTATAATGTGCAGTAAAATGTCTGTGCATACTGTCCATCGATACGTTTGTCATTTTCTATGTACATCATATCACAATTACATACAAAAGTTTCCATAAATGGGGGTACCCCCCCACAATCATCAAGGTATAGATGGATTTTCATAATTTTCCCATGAAATCAGCTCGACTATCCAGCTATTGAGTATCCCCATTTAAAAACCTTAAAAAAAACATCCTGAAAACCATTTATATGTAACTATTTATGGAACCATTTATTGCTGGTTGGTGGTATACCAACCCCTCTGAACAATATGAGTCAGTTGAGATGATGACATTCCCAATCTATGGAAAGTCATAATCTAGTCATGTTCCAAACCACCAACCAGGTCATCTCATTAACCATTATTAACCACTATTAACCACCATTATTAACCACTATTAACCACCATAATGGCTGTTCCAAACCACCACTATTCACCACCATTTATGGAACCTTCAAAACATCGCTGAAATCAAACCACCATTGGAACGGTTCCACCTTGTCGTAGTCCAGTGATACCACGCTGGGATTGAAGCCACTGCCACAGACAAGCAGAGTGTCCTCGTTCACCTCGCGAGCCCCGTGTCGTGTCGGGTGATGGAGCCAAGCTTCGTGAATGATGGAAACCCTAAACCACCATCCATGCACTTTGGTGTATTATTGCTGGTTGGTGATTTTAACCATCTTGAAAAATATTAGTCAGTTGGGATGAGTATTCCCAATATAGGGGAAAATAAAAAATGTTCCAAACCACCAATCAGATTTGGTGTATTATTGGAACATGATTGAATGGAGAAAAATGATGGGAAACTTATGGGCAACAGTCAGGGATGCTCCAAATGCCAACACGCAGATGGAGTGGTAAAATGACCCAGTCTCAGCTCTTGTGGCAATGATTGGCCTACAATAGCTTGGAGCAACCCTGGATATTCGTGGGTAATTGTTTGAGCAATAGGTTACAGCAAGAAATGTACTTTAGTTCTGTGTTGATTCATGATTCATCATAGTAAATCAGATGTAAAATTGGTATATAGGTCATTTAATGGTCATTTCGTGACCAGATTGGCGACTCTCCGGCAGGTTTCATGCGAATCGACTTCCTCCAAACCAGTTGGTTTATAGGACGGTGGGTTGAATCACGAAGGTTATCGAGCACTATGCACGCTACCCGGCCTGGTAAACATACAAAAAGCGAACTGGAAAATGGCCATAGAAAGTGGATTTACCCATTAAAAATGGTGATTTTCCATAGTTATGTAAACATTTACCAGAGGGTAATATATGAGGAATTGACCCCATTTTTTCGTTGCTGGGTTGAACAACTAGTCTCGTTCGAACATCATTCAACTTGCACGAATGTTTTTTTTCGAACAACCAAACATCTATAGAACTTAGGAACCCAACTTGCCCTCTGGTAATTTTAATTCAACATAGCTATGGACCTATGGAACATGGCCCGTTTCGTTCCAAAAAAAATACATGCTTTTAATGATTTACCTACTGTTTTTGTGCTGGCTTTTTCCATACAAGGCTGTGTTTCTCCACCAGTTATATATAAGTTGAATAATCAACCCCATCAACTATACAGATATCTCCATCATAAACCATAGTTAACATTAGGATACATTAGGTTACAAATCAACTTACCCTCTGGTAAACATACAAAAAGCTATTGAACATGGTCATAGAAATAGTTGATTTACCCATTCAAAATGGTGGATCGTTCCATGTTTTTTGTATGTTTACCAGAGGGTAAATCCCATGAAACAGCCATTAAATCGCATAAAACTGCCATTAAATCCCATGAAGTTAACATTAGGTTACAAATCCTTAAGCAACTCAACTTAGCTAAGAAACTGAAGCACCTTGTAACCACCGAGGCCCCCCACAGCGCTGAGACAACTCAGCGCCGCCCCTTTTTCGCGCGGGGAAAAGTGCCAGGTCGACCTAAATTTTCCCGAGCCCCACGGAGCCGAGGGATGGGAGTTTCACCCGAAAAACCATGGTTACCCTCTGGTAATTTAACAAAAAATTGTGATTTATAGTGGATTTATCCATTAAAGATGGTGATTTATAGCCAAAAAATGGTGATTTATCGATTCTTTACTGGAAAATGGTGATTTATATATAGTGGATTTATCCATTAAACCATGGTGATTTTCCATGAAATACCCGGCATGGTAAACATACCAAAAAACGAACTGGAAAGATCCACCATGTTATAGCTGGGTAAATCAACTATTTCGACTGGGCCATTTTCAATGCAGATGGTAAACCAACAATCATGGCATAATCACAGAGATTAATCGTGCAATGATATCAATGATTAATCCCTATCTTTGATATGATACTTGGTGGCCCCCACGTCTTTTTTTGTTTCTTGGTTTATAAACCCATCGAATGGTGGATATTTCCACCGTTTTTTTTTCCCTAGTTGCACTGTTGTCAACCGTAGCCAACTGGGGTACCAACTTGCAGGAGTTCATGGGGAAGTCACAAGTAGATGAGTCTTACTTAGAATTTGTAGATGATGTGCCCATGAAAAACGATGTTTTTTCTAGGGTAATATCATTACCCTATGGTGGTTCTTATGATATATTATAATATACCCAAGTAGATCCTACAGGCGTCCGCTTGTGCATAAAAAAGCTCCTGTTTTATAGGGTTCTTTCCATTGCCTATGTTTGATTGCCATAGGGTGATATCTTTCGAATAGAATTTACAGATCATGTATCCTCTAGTAAACTAACATGTGGCATATTTCTTCTCCTGCTCCTTTTCCTTTCTCTTCCTTTTCAACTTCTTTTCCTTCTTTCTAAGCTCCTTCTCGATCTCCTTCACCTGATCATCCCAACTGCAAGGCTGCTTGATGTTGGTCTGCACCTCGACGTTGTTGACCAAAGGCAGCTCGATGTTGGTCTGCACCTCCACCGAGGAAACCAAGGGTCCAGGACGTGCTGCTGGTGAGGAGCTTGGTGCTGCTGGTTCAGCATATTTCTTGGGTGGATAGTAACATAGCTATTTTTTTGGGCTACTAGTAACATAGCTATTTTTTGGGTGGATCATGCAGTTCGATGATTTATGTATGTTTCCATAGTTTTCTTAGTTTACCAGAGAGAGTGCCTATATATGCCTATATAATTGTGTTATCTTGTCATCCAGTATTTCTCTTGGGATGACAGAATCCACGAAAATGTGATCCCAATTTGTCTCGAAATCATCGCACGAAACCGGGATGGTTCAAGTCATGGAATTCGTTTCAAATGAGATGATGATGATGTTTGAACATGATTTTAGCTGGATAGAACAACCCCCCCAAACAAATGCAACATAGCCATGACCCTCCGGTAATTCAACATAGCCATGGAACAATATGGAACATGGTCCCTTAGCCCTTGATAATTTATTTTCTTATTCAACATCGGTGATGTTCCAAAGCCATCTTCTTAGTTTAGCGGCTAGAATGAACACTACCGCCAGTCAGCTTCCCAGCTGATAGTTACGGATGATCCCCCACTCCTTTCTCCAAAGAAAACGAAGCCTGGTTTGGTTTTGAACATGTTCACTTGGGTGTTCCCGATTTTCAAGTCACTATCATCTAGGCATTGTGACATGTTCATTGTACTAGTTACATCCTTGCTGATGACATCGGTTTGCTGATTACTGATGTACACCCTGAGTTGCGCTGGCTCAAGATGGTCCCATACAAGAGTTAAAGCAAAACCGATGTGTAAAATATGGAACAAAGCACTTGTCTTCAGCATATCCAAACTCTTTGTCAATTTTCCCTTTTCGTTTGTTGGAATTGATTGGGGAATTCATATATTCTCTTGTTGGATCATACCTCACGTACCAACCTAATATCATATTCTTGGTGATATATCTTGTATATACTATATATATATATACATGTAGAAAAAACAATCCATACGAGATATTACTCATTTACTCATCATTGTCCTCACCCATATGCTCCATGGTGCTGGAATATTTACCTACATTTACCCCAAAAATCAACCAAATGTAGGTAAATATACCAGCACCATGGAGCATCTGGGTCATGATTAAAGCAATCCCAGAGGATCCATGTATGGAATATTTACCTACATTGACCCCTAAAGTAATTTAAAAATAATCCCAATGTAGGTAAATATTCCATACATGGATCCTTAGGGAATGATCCTCCTCATCCCTCGTCGACCGCACTGCAGCAGCAAGGTACTCCCCTCGATTGCGACACCAGATCCGCATCGCGCCGTCCGCGGCACAGCTGCAAAGGGCCTGGTCCGAAAAAATCGGATCGGGCGTCACGGTCGAAATTAGCCAATTAATAGTGAATTATAGTGGATTTATAGTGGATTATAGTCAATTATTATCGATTCTTTACTGGAAAATGGTGATTTATATTGGATTTATCCATTAAACATGGTGATTTTAAAAATTTTCCAATTATACCCGGCCTGCTAAACATACAAAAAACTATGGAAAGATCCAGCATGTTATAGCTGGGTAAATCCACGATTTCGACTGGACCGGGTACTGGTGTTTTAGGTGAATTTTGCCAACACAGCTGGGGTAACATTCTAAGACGATCTTCAGATGGGGTTTTTCGTGATGATCTGCCTCGGGTGGCCCGAACAAAATGGACGTGGGAACCAAGAACTGTGGGAATCCTCCACTTTGCATGTCCACAAATCATTTGGGGAACACTATAGATAATATTATATAATAAATAGTCTAGACAATTTACTATGGTATATATATATTAATTCTGAATTCTAAAATGCTAACAAACCAAGATTTCTGGGTTTCGTCTGACAATGTGCCACTCAGGCCGTCCCAGAATATGAATGTCGGTGCAATTCTTCCATAGGTCAAAACCCTTCTGCCCTTCCTCCAACTTTTTTGATAGCTGGCAAACGGAGATGTCATTCTGTCATTCCCGCAGTTCCCAAATGACCACAAGCTGGTGCCTCTCCTGGCCCTTCCGGTGGGGTATACAACGGTAATACGGTATACTCCAACATTCATAGGAATCAAATCTGCCCATGATATCCCCACATCCTCCATGATGTACTAGTTGTATTCCCATTGAATCCCTGAAGTTGAGATTCCCATGTTTAATGGTCACTATTTTTCAGGGTGAAACCCCCGTAAACAAGTAACAGATATGGAAAGTCGTTGGCTTCGGACAAGCACCTACCATTGGTGAGCTTTTGTGACATCTGTGTAAAGGTTCCCCGGTCATCCTCAAAACAACATCATTTTTTCATGGCAAAATTCCCATCTTCGTTGCGGGCCCATGGCCCCTACAACAACGGAATGTCCAGGAGCCCCGGACGCCAGGCAGCAAGGCGAGGGCTTCCACCTCTTTTGGCTGGTGAGGAGCATCTCGTTGATGGATCTTTAGGGATGTTTAGGGAAGATATATCCAACTAGTAAATACATGGGAGGTTCATGGGCCTGATAAATCAACTGAACATGAACAACTTAAGCAATTAAAAATGATGATGGTTGATGATGATTTATCGTGATTTACCTATAAAAAACCAAATGGCGATTTAGGCTTTATGATACCCCAAGCTAGCCGAATTCACTGACCATTTCAGGTACCGATTTATTGGAGGTACCTATCCCTACCATGTATAAGCTCTATGTAAGGCCTATGTAAGGAGATGTATACACACCCAAAATATGGTTTACATAGGACAGTACCTCCAGTTAATAGGTACCTGCCAGCCGGCCATTTTTCAGTCTCGGTGATTTCTCTCACAACCAGCCAGGTCTGGTTATGGTTAAAGCCTCACAAAAACAATGGGTACATACCCTCTGGTAAACTAACATAACAATGGAAAATCACCATTTTTAATGGGTAAATCGACTATAAATGACCATTTTCAATAGCTATGTTAGTTTACCAGAGGGTAATGACTCTGTTGAGGTTTGGTGATCGTTTTTCACCCTGGGATGCTTCCTGGAGATCCCCACTGGAGATCACACTGGGAATGTGGGTACAGTATCACCCTCATGATGGAAGGCCAACTCTTCTGCAACACAGAAACCGGTTGCATAAAACACCAAGATCACCGGCGGCCAGATGCATTCGAATGATATTTTCCGCTCGTAACTGTTGGTCTCAACACCAGTGATGTTTGGGGCAATTAGGCACTTCCACAAGGATGAGGATAATTCCCATGTTTAATACGGTTTTTACTCTGCTACTAAAGAATCGTCAATCCGATATGGGTCTTAATACTTAAGAACATCCTCAGACATACAGATGTTAGAGATTTCTAGCATTACACCCTAACATGTTGGGGTGAAATATGGATCCAAACGTCACCATCAACTATATTTACAATTTACATCAATTTACAATATATTTATTATTAGGCCACAGGAGGTTTTTTTGTCCGATGACCAAGTAATGCCAATTTCATGGTTAGTGTGGGATTCCCAGTTTGTGGATCTCCAAATTTTGAGTCGAAAATTCACTCTCAATTCCAGTCCCAAGCATCAGGCAATAGGCTTTGAATTTAAACATCTCTTTCACCACTTGCAGGTCGACTTCCATGATTTATGCCTACGCTTCGGTGGTCTTGATTTAGTGATTTGACTTGTTGGTTGAATTCGTTTAATTCGCATGTCAAATGATAACTGTTCTCACAGCAATTCAAAAGAGTTATATCAAAACATAACTGTCATAACAACTGGTTTACATTTACATCACCAGAAACAGTTATATCAACAATTCTGGTTCACATTCACATAACATACAACCAGAAACCACATCCAGAAAAATTTACTGGTGCTTAGTAGGGAAAGGATGGGTTGCTGGGGGTTGCTGGGATGATTATTACTAGTGATTATGGATCATTCCCATCCATTCCCTGCGTTTAGCACCGGTAAGCTTATTAGTATCCCATTCATTATCCCATTCATTATCCCATTATTACCCCAGTATTATCCCAGTATTATCCCATCATTATCCCAGTATCATCCTATCATTATCCCATCATTATCCCATTATTATCCCAGTATCATCCCATCATTATCCCATTATTATCCCAGTATCATCCCATCATTATCCCATCATTATCCCAGTATTATCCCATCATTATCCCATTATTATCCCAGTATTATCCCATCATTATACCATTATTATCCCAGTATCATCCCATTATTATCCCAGCATCATCCCATCATTATCCCATCATTATCCCATTATTATCCCAGTATTATCCCATCATTATCCCATTATTATCCCAGTATTATCCCATCATTACCCCATTATTATCCCAGTATTATCCCATCATTATCCCAGTATTATCCCATCATTACCCCATTATCATCCCCATAAAACCAGGAAAAAAAACACCGACCAGCAACACCCGGTCACAACGGGCGCCCCCACAGCCCCGTTGTGACCACGGAGATCGCGCAGTGGCGTGGTCTGACGCAGGTCCCATTGCCTGGGATCCAAATGGTGGGTCAGCTTCACCAGGGGATATGTATGTATGTATATGAATATATACATACATATACACATACATTTATATAACATATAATAATATATATAACATAATGTATATATATATATATTTATTTAAACAACATATATATATATGGGCAATTTAGAATAAATCTTACCTCGTCATCTCGTGCTTAAATCGTGAAACCGGAACATTTAGTGATCTCGTTAAATGAGCATTTTATGTTTAACCCCTCGTCGAACACAGCCCAGTTTTGCCTTGCAGATACAGCTCTTTCATCCCATTCAAGCCTCACGCCTTCCCTTTGGCGGGGACAAGTCTTCCAAAATGCTTGGCGGGGACAAGTCTTCCAAAGGCTGGAGGAAAGGGAGAAGGAAAAAAAACTTTTCTAGGGGAGAAAAGTTTTTTAAAGTTTTTTTTGTTTTTTTTGGCTTGGACCAAATGGCAAGTGGAAAGAAACACTTTTTAGGCTGCGAAAAGTTTATTTTCTCTCCCCGGCATTCAACGTTCCAGACTAGGAAAAGTTGTTCTTCTCGAAACAAGGGTCTGCATTTCCTCTTGAGAACGGGAAGCAACAACCACAAGCATGGCCAACAGCTACAGGAAAATGAGCTTTCAGCAAAATTGCTGCAGAATCGCAGCTTGCCAAAAAAAAACTTTTCAGCTCCAGAAATGTTTTTTTTCCATGTCCCTTGCCATGGAAACGGTGTCTGAGCACCCACCTCATCTGACTGTATTTAGTTAAACCACCTCGTTAAAACCAAAAGGCTACCTCGCACCTCGGCTGTCCTCGCTATAAATTGCACAGATATATATCACATATATATATAACATATATATATATATAACAAAATATATAGATATATTTTAATATATTATATTATATATAACATATATTACTATTATTGTTATTATTATTATATACTATTAGTGCATTTTATATTTATATCTAACATAGATTCATATAGTAGATTTGATGATCTACCAAGCAATATGGGGATACCAGCAGAAATCATGAGCGAACGAATAACAATTGATGGTTTAAACACGCACATGCTCTTGTTCCCGAGAGTGTCTGAGCGCAGGGTTCTTCCAATAGTGGGGGTCTGTATCTCATCTTCTCATCTTCACACCTTCTCGCACACCTTCTCATCTTCACACCTTCTCTCACACCTTCTCATCTTCACACCTTCTCATCTTCACACCTTCTCATCTTCACATCTTCCCTCACACCTTCTCATCTTCACATCTGCTCATCTTCACATCTTCTCATCTCCACATCCTCTCACACCTTCTCATCTTCACATCTTCTCTCACACCTTCTCATCTTCACATCTGCTCATCTTCACATCTTCTCATCTTCACATCTTCTCATCTTCACATCTGCTCCTCTTCACATCTGCTCCTCTTCACATCTTCTCGCACACCTTCTCATCTTCACACCTTCTCATCTTCACACCTTCTCTCACACCTTCTCATCTTCACATCTTCTCTCTCTCTCACTCTCTCTCCTCTTTCCTCTCTCCTTTCTCTCTCTCATTTCTCTCTCTCCTTTCTCTCTCCCTTTTCTCTCTCTCGCCTTCTTTATCTTTCTCTCTTTAGGCCGAGGGTGGTGCCGGCGGGGAGTCACGAAACGTGAACCCTTTCGCACGAAATGAGGGTCGATCGGCGAAAACTGAGGTAAAGTTGCGATTTTACTTGTCCTGGAGCAACCCTTGCACGAAATGAGGGTCGATCGGCAAAAACTGAGGTAAAATTGCGATTTTACTTGTCCTGGAGCAACCCTTTCGCACGAAATGAGGGTCGATCGGCAAAAACTGAGGTAAAGTTGCGATTTTACTTGTCCTGGAGCAACCCTTTCGCACGAAATGAGGGTCGATCGGCAAAAAACTGAGGAAAAATTGCGAGTTTACTTGTGCCGGAGCAACCCTTTCGCACGAAATGAGGGTCGATCGGCGAAAACGTCCGTGTGTAAAAGTGTTAGTGTGTAAAAGCGTCTGTGTGTAAAAGCTTTTGTGTGTAAAAGCGTCTGTGTGTAAACGCGTCTGTGTGTGTGTAAAAGCGTCTGCGTGTAAATGCTTCTGTGTGTAAAAGCTCCTGTGTGTAAAAGGCTCTTTGTTAAAAATGTCTGTGTGTAAAAGTGTCTGTGTGTAAAAGTGTCTGTGTGTAAAAGCATCTGTGTAAAAGCGTATGTCTGTAAAAGTTTCTGTATGTAAAATCTTCTGTGGGTAAAAGCTTTGTATGTAAAAGTGTCTGTGTAAAAGTGTCTGTGTGTAAAAGTGTCTGTGTGTAAAAGCGTCTGTGTAAAAGCGTCTGTATGTAAAAGCTTCTGTGGGTAAAAGCTTTGTGTGTAAAAGGGTCTGTGCGTAAAAGGGTCTGTATGTAAAAGCGTCTGTGTGTAAAAGCTTTTGTGTGTAAAAGTGTTTGCGATGCAAACTATTGTCTTGCACTTCTGCTATTTTGTCTTAATACTCCTCTTCTCGAACTGCATATAACACATCTTTAATATATATTGTTTCTAATATGGTGTCTCCATACTAACAAGTGAAGAACCTGCTCCTCTCCGCTCTCGGGCCATCCGTCGTCTAGTTTTTTTCCACAAACATGCTGCTGACTTTGGATGGAAATCCCATGGTTCCAATACCACAATTTTTGTTGATTCAGGTGCAACTCCAAAGATAGAATGTTTATTTACTTATCATGTTTAAATGATGTTTAGTTCCTATTCATTCAGTCTTGGCCAAACATACAAGATGGTTTGAAAGATGGATCCAAATAACCTCATTTTCCCACTGATTTGCGGGCAAACTTGACCACCAACAACCAGCTGACATAGCCCGAGCAGGACTCCCCTGGATCTATCGCCGGGAAGGGTAGCAACCCCAATCCAATTCCTGTTGTTCTTGTGACGGCGGTTCTTGTGACATCACGAAGGTCGCGACATCATTTAACCCTATATATATATAATTATGTAACATACTATATATATATATGTTATATTATATATAAAATGGTATTGTAATGGTATATATGCATAATTAATCAACAACCCATGAACACTCTACGACACCGCAGCACCTCATATATCCTGATAATATCTGAATCTCCATCATTGTCAGCTTCAAACCAATCCTTTTGTTGGTTACGTCCCCTTCGAACAACCCACCGTAACACCCAACACCCGCTCAATTGACCGCCAGAACACGTGATGCAGCCCTCCCCCAAACCCACGAAGAGCTCGTGTTCTGAAGCGGAAATCAAGGAGTAGACCTGGAAATGGCTACAATGTGGGGCCCCAAAATGATAGGTAAGTTGGTTTCTAGCTCCAAAATTGTGGTTGATGGCACGTATAGCCATAGCCAATGGAGTTCATAAGCCAACTTATAACTGTGGGGGCCCAGGTGATGGTAGGTGGTGTCCAGCTTCTTAAGAGTTTGACCGCTAGGAATGGTGGGATTTAGCATGCCAACCACGGTGATTTTCTCATGACCGCTAAGTTGGTTGATATTAGATTGGCTAAAGTTTATGGTGGGGTTTGTTGCACTTAGTGCACTTGCTGCTTACTTTTGGGACATATGTGTTTAAGCTTCTGCGCAATTAAGTAATTAATAAAGATATGTTGTTATAATTTGTCTATTCATTTATTTAGTTATTCTGAATCAATCTGAATCATTACAGTAGCTTTGAACATGTTCATCTGGCAATAAACAAAAACTGGTACAGAACAAAGCTCCCACCAGGAGAATACGTGGCTGCCGTCTGCCAAAACGAAGTGGCAAACTCGCATGACCAAGGCTGCAAATCCACGAACTCCAAAGGCGCACGAAACAACGTACGACCTTTCCGTGGACGAGGGCAGCGTCAAAATGGAAGTTGCATCATTGCCAGTGCCAAACAGGCCATCTTCACGAATCACGAGGCTTCTTCGTCTTTTGGCGCCGGCTAAAGACTCGAGGTCGATGATCGGCCTGATCTCGTCAGTGGCATGTTCTGACGCGCAAAGCAACAGCAATCACATTGTGAAGTTGAGATGGGCACAAAAGATTGAACCAAACAATTTCTTCTCGCCTATGGGTGCTTATGGTCATTTTTGGGACTTGATACCTTTCTGTTGAAAATATCACATTTCGACAGACTCATACTGATATTATTTCATTATTACCCATTTTATAGTTTTTATATCCCATGAATTCATATTTAATTCCCATTGTAATCGCTTATCCCCGGAGTTTTCTCCCACCACCTACGACACGACCTCGGGCTCCCCACGTGCTGCCGCGCTGGCAGCACACTCCGCTGCTTGCCACTGCGGAGATCCCACAAGATGCAGCGACGGTCAAAGCCACCCGTGATGCAACTGGCGCCAACCCCGGAGAAGGGGAGAACATTGAGGATACCCTCTGGTAAACTAACATAGCTATTGAAAATGGCCATTTATAGTGAGTTTTCCCATCAAAAATGGTGATTTTCTATAGTTACGTTAGTTTACCAGAGGGTATCAGGGTAAAATATGCCCAACCATCAACCTTTCCCAACCTTCCCCTTAAAAAGACATGCTGGAGCAGTTGTTTCAGGGGTCAAATTGAGCTGCTTTTTCCAAGAAACACTGTGATTAAATTTGTGTTTACTGAGATCTTTTGATGGGTGTGTAGGACACGAAAAACAGACACTGAAACAGCCATTTGTAGAGATCAAACCAGCAACAGAGCTTGATTTCACCCAGAAAAAACAAGGTGATCGAAGCAACAAAGCAGTGCATCTCATGACTTCAATGGTTTTCCAAACCACGGGGGTCGCCGGAAATCCGGCCAAGTCTAGCGGGGACAATAGGAATGGATGGTTTTTCCAGGAAAAATCTGGAGGAAACGATGGGTTTTTCATGGTTTTTCCTATAGGAATTCATGTGGGATTCACCCAAATGCCATCTGCACCATGCCCCAAGTTTGAGGTGTTTATATGTGTTTATTACATTTTATTTCTGGGAATATCCCAGAACCGGGATGATGTAAAATGACCAAACAAAAATGCTTGGTGAATGGGATGAGGTTCCGGTAAATTGTCCCACTAGGTAAATTCCAGAAACAGTTGGAAAGGATGATTCCTGGCTCAACTCACCTGTGATGGGCAATGGACAGAAGGCAAGGCCACAGGGGGAAGTGCGAGTCAACCAGCACAGCCCAATTTTTTTAACCTGGAACCAAACGACGCTTCAAATGTGGCATTGCAAAAAAAGGGCCAAGGGTATGAAACGACCTGAGGAGCCACCAATCATCCTGGGATTTGCCATCTGTTTTGGGTGGTTGGGAAGTTCTCTGAGCCTCCAGGGATATCCAGCGACCAAAAAAACATTGCAGAAAACTCTCTAAAACATCATTCTCTAAGAGTTCCTTTTTCCAAGCCTCCTTTCATCTTGGTCGAATCTCACCATCCTTCCACCATCATTTTTGCCGTTTTCTCATCATGTTCCCATCATTTTTGCCATTTTCCCAGCATTTTCCCAGCATGTTCCCAGCATTTTCCATGAAAAAAACACCGCCACACCGTCCACGTTACGCCGTTGCGCCTGCTGGCCGAGAGCCAGGAGCCACAGTAGGCCCCTGCCTGGTGACCCGGCAAACCTGGGGCCGGCTGAGTTGATGGTTTATAAATGGTTTAACTATACACATAGGATCCATGTATGCTACATATATGCTAACATTGGGGGTATATTGATGGGATCCATGTTACCATATATAGCAGCACCATGGATCCTATGGGATATATCCAACTTAGAAATTGAGAAATGGATACTGTAGTTATTGAACATTGCCATAGAAAGAGTTGATTTACCCATTACAAATGGTGATTTTCCATAGCTATGTTAAATAACCAGAGGGTAACTGTAACTAATTTTGGCTGACTATGATATAGGTTGATATAGCTAAGTTGGTGAACATAACATGTTATAACTATTAACTTTGGCTAACTATATGACATTTTGCCAAATTGGTGAGCATAACTCGAATTAATATATATATATATATAACCATATGGCGCATGATACTTATAACTATAGTTAAATGAGGTGATACTAAACCACTATAACTTATAAACCATAGCCGGTAGATAGTCATTTCAGATCTTGGATATCTTGGATTAAGAGTTAACCTCGATTTCTGTTCAGACTTAGCTATTGGATCTAAGGACACCATTTATCTTCCCTTTCACCCTCCGGTTGTCCCCTTAAAAAAACAAAAAAACATCATCTGCTGGTATTTGTTTCAGTTCGTTCTTTATGTTCTTTGAGGTATTTGGAGGGTCTAGCTTTACGATTTCCCTGCGTTTCAAAATATTGGCCGGAAGATCTTTGAGATGTTGGAGAAACCATTCATCATGATGCATCTATGGTGAAAATTGAGTTTGTCTTCATAGAAGTCCAGCCTACACGTGTATATATATATATATAATATACATATTATAAGATATATATTTTTTAAAACAAATGTGATATATATATATATATATATTTATATGTACCATTTTATCACCATGTTCCCAATTGGAACCAAAAATCAACGTGACAAATCTGCAGGAAAACAGTGTTTCTTCAAGCTGGGTCCCAGTACCCATCGAGCCTTCTGCATTCCTTTTACAAGAAATATGTTCTATTAAAAAAAAACAGCATTTTTTTAAATGTATATGTATATGTATGTGTGATACATATGTATGTACACAAATGTACACATATATATATATATATACCTTTATCATGCACGCTATGTAGGTGCAAGTAAAACATGTAAAAACAATGAAGAGGTGTTTACAAGAAACTGACTTGTCATTTCTAGTCTGAACCATCCAACTCTGTGCCAAAATAGTGACAAGAACTTGTGTGAAAACCGGTACGCTGGGATCATCAGCTATGACCTCCTTGGAAACCTCCGCGGTTCCCTAAAAGTTCATCTGGTTGGTGGTTTTAACCATCTTGAAAAAATATTAGTCAATGGGAAGGATTATCCCATATGTTATGAAAAATAAAACATATTTGACACCACCAAGCAGTCATTCTTCATGGGATATAAACCATTCACTCACTCAAAACATGGCTAAGTTGAAGGATAAACGTTAATTAAGCCCCAAACTACCAAGGCGTATGAGGGCAGCTTCCAGGTACCTATATTCACCGTCATATTTCTTGGTCACTTCTGGGTTCACCTCGTCCCTTTTTAACCATACGGCAGGATTTGAACTTCTGCAGCAGATGGATTGTCGAGTCAGAGTGGTTGCGGAGCACTCAGAACTTCTGCCGGCATCAGTGGCATCTAGAACCGCTCATTGGATACCAGTACAATGTGAGGCCCCCCAGTTATAAGTTGGTTTATAAGCCCCAGTAACTATAGTTATAAGTACCATAAACCATAGTTATTGGAGTTATGTTCACCAACTTAGCTATCGAACGGGGGCCTCACATTGTAGCTAACCACGGTTAAGTATGGGGCAATACAATACGTAGTAATGACATCAGGATACCTCAGGTACATCTACCATAAACCTGCTGGTTTATGTCAATGGATGCGGCTGGATGAAGCACAAGGATGCACCACCATGGTGCCATGGATCTTGAGCTGGGGATTACACTCATCCATGAAACTTATCACATGGGGATGGGTCAAAACCTTGTACCCTGGTGAACATCAAAATAGCTGGTAAATGGATGTTAATCCCCCTGAAGTTGCTATTTATAGGTATTGATCCATAGCCCCATGGCAAACAAAACAGTCCACAAACCGACCCAACCCAAAAACAGAGTTGGTTGCTGTGCGGGTTAGCCACCAGTCGCACATCCGGCTTTCCTACAGTCCTCTTGATCCCTCTTGTCATCTAACCTGGGGACACTTCCACCTTTGCCATTGATTCATATCCATTTCCATCATTTTCCATCTACCCAGCTTTTCTAACAGTTGGATGGGGAAAATCCACCAATCCACTTCCATCATTTTCCATCTACCCAGCTTTTCTAACAGTTGGATGGGGAAAATCCACCAATCCATTTCCATCATTTTCCATCTACCCAGCTTTTCTAACAGTTGGATAGGGAAATCCACCAATCCATTTCCATCATGTTCCATCTACCCAGCTTTTCTAACAGTTGGATGGGGAAAATCCACCAATCCATTTCCATCATTTTCCATCTACCCAGCTTTTCTAACAGTTGGATGGGGAAAATCCACCAATCCATTTCCATCATTTCCATCTACCCAGCTTTTCTAACAGTTGGATGGGAAATCCACCAATCCATTTCCATCAGCTTTTCTAACAGTTGGATGGGGAAAATCCCAATCCAATCATTTTCCATCTACCAGCTTGTGGATGGGGAAAATCCACCAATCATTTCATTTTCCATCTACCCAGCTTTTCTAACAGTTGGATGGGGAAAATCCACCAATCCATTTCCATCATTTTCCATCTACCCAGCTTTTCTAACAGTTGAATGGGGAAAATCCACCAATCCATTTCCATCATTTTCCATCTACCCAGCTCTTCTAACAGTTGGATGGGGAAAATCCACCAATCCATTTCCATCATTTTCCATCTACCCAGCTTTTCTAACAGTTGGATGGGGAAAATCCACCAATCCATTTCCATCATTTTCCACCTACCCAGCTTTTCTAACAGTTGGATGGGGAAAATCCAATTTCCATCATTTTCCATCTACCCAGCTTTTCTAACAGTTGGATGGGGGAAATCCACCAATCCATTTCCATCATTTTCCATCTACCCAGCTTTTCTAACAGTTGGATGGGGAAAATCCACCAATCCATTTCCATCATTTTCCATCTACCCAGCTTTTCTAACAGTTGGATGGGGGAAATCCACCAATCCAATTCCATCATTTTCCACCTACCCAGCTTTTCTAACAGTTGGATGGGGAAAATCCACCAATCCATTTCCATCATTTTCCATCTACCCAGCTTTTCTAACAGTTGGATGGGGAAAATCCACCAATCCATTTCCATCATTTTCCATCTACCCAGCTTTTCTAACAGTTGGATGGGGAAAATCCACCAATCCATTTCCATCATTTTCCATCTACCCAGCTTTTCTAACAGTTGGATAGGGAAAAATCCACCAATCCATTTCCATCATTTTCCATCTACCCAGCTTTTCTAACAGTTGGATGGGGAAAATCCACCAATCCATTTCCATCATTTTCCATCTACCCAGCTTTTCTAACAGTTGGATGGGGAAAATCCACCAATCCATTTCCATCATTTTCCACCTACCCAGCTTTTCTAACAGTTGGATGGGGAAAATCCACCAATCCATTTCCATCATTTTCCATCTACCCAGCTTTTCTAACAGTTGGATGGGGAAAATCCACCAATCCATTTCCATCATTTTCCATCTACCCAGCTTTTCTAACAGTTGGATGGGGAAAATCCACCAATCCATTTCCATCATTTTCCATCTACCCAGCTTTTCTAACAGTTGGATGGGGGAAAATCCACCAATCCATTTCCATCATTTTCCATCTACCCAGCTTTTCTAACAGTTGGATGGGGAAAATCCACCAATCCATTTCCATCATTTTCCATCTACCCAGCTTTTCTAACAGTTGGATGGGGAAAATCCACCAATCCATTTCCATCATTTTCCATCTACCCAGCTTTTCTAACAGTTGGATGAGGAAAATCCACCAATCCATTTCCATCATTTTCCATCTACCCAGCTTTTTCTAACAGTTGGATGGGGAAAATCCACCATGAAACCAGATCCTTTTCTTCATCAACCATAGCCTTTCCACATCTTTTCACCTTGATCACCGGCGAACAAAAACCACTTGGGACGGTTGGCTCCCATGTCCACTCTGTCCGGCAAGCACAGGTCACTGCAGCTAGGGCCTGAAAAATCCTGGTGCTTCCGTGCTTCCACTCCATAGCAAGATCAAGGTTCACACTCAGACAATAACTGGGGTGGGAATATGTGGGAAGATGATGTTCCTATCTGACATGAAAAAACTAGGATGTTCCATGGATTTTCTGATATCGCAAAATGTCCAGTCCAAATCACCAACGTAAAATTCCATACATTTCCTAGTGGAAATAACCAGATCTGAATTTCTTTGGGTCACCCCGGGTAGCACATGTCTTTTTGGGGTAATGCCCTGCTGGTGAAGAACACACATCATCCCCATCTCCTTGCAATGTTTGCTTCAGTTTGGGCGTTTGATTCTCTATTGAATGTGGAATCTATGAAATTTTATAAATTCGATGTAAATGGGTAGCAAAACAATATATATATATATAGCCTCCAGACCAAAAAAAAGATAAATCGACAATGATTTATCTATAATTAAATCAGCAACACCACCAATGATATAGAGGTGATAGATACATCAATAGATAAACGTCCTTGCGTTGCAAGCAGCAAATTCAATTCCACGCCCCAATCACAGCGAACTCTCACAAGGATGGTTTATAACAACCTTCCCGCACTTAGAATAATCCAATACTAAACCTCTGCAGTTAGAATATTCCAAAATGATACAAACCAAAATATTCTAAGTGCTAACTTGGTATTATACTAAGCTTTTCAATGAAAGTAACTGAAACCTGGAAGGACTCGGTCAATTGTCAGGAAGAAAGGGGTCTGGAAAGTGAACCGTGGTTTGACGCCTTGCCCCCACATGATCGCTTTTTCTAGGCCTTGACTTCTTGCCACCTCCGTTTCCACAATTCGTGGGTCCGTTGGTAGCAGCTAACCTGTTTTCTAATCTTGTTGATCTTAGGTACCAAACCTTCTATTTTTCAGAACGTGACCGATCCACATAGCTTAACGTATTTCGATCCACATCCCTAGCCGCTAGTAGTTTGAAACCAACGGCTATCTAAGGAGCCCCATCATTCAGGAAAGTCTGATTTTCTGAATGTTGCCCTTAATTTTGCCAGCTTTTCTAATGATGAGTCATCTTAAATGAGGGTCAAACTCGAACCATTCACCTCATTTACCTGGAATCAGGGCAACTATGCTAAACTTATCAGGGTATATCAGGGTGAACATACCATATGGCACCATGTTTTTCAAGCCAAATCACCTTCCTGTGACTCGCCGCTGCCGCGATTGCCGCGATTGCTGCGCTGCTGGTGAAACGCCCAGGCGGTGTCAAGGGCTGCATTGATTTTTGAGAGCCAGGCTACAAAACTGGTAGTTTAACATTCCACAAATCTATATAAATCTGCTAGATTCGGTAGTTTAACATTCCATAAACTGGTAGTTAGATTTGCCAAGATGGTAGTTTAACATTCCATAAACTGCTAGGCAAGTTCAGCCATAAATCGACCGTCTTCTGGCCATATGATCCTATTGGTCTGCTAAGTTTTGATATGTGAAAACAAACTTACCGAGGTTTTGAGCGATGCAAAACTGCACACAATGATCCATATCATTCCATATCATTCCATTTCCCTTGCCAGCAGCATGTTAGAAGCTCCGAAAAAAGGTGCTCGACTCATCTGGGTCATTTAATTTTGGCTGATTGAAGATGTGGCCAAAAACCCAACATATTCATGTTATTGAACTAAGTTGGGGAACCCCAATGCTTTCAGTCAAGCTTTCAGTCGCATTTTACTGCTGTTGATGCGCCCTTGAAGCTGACCAACTATGCCGCAAGCATCTGCAAGCCAGCAACCCGTCTTTTTGGGGTGTACAACTCAGGAGTCAAGTTTGATCTTCGCTGGGTTGTCAATGATGTTCGCACCGTAGACATACCTTGCCAGATTCGTGAACAACAACGGCCACTTCATAGGGACTGTGGAGTCGGAGGTACCAAATATGTATGACTATCATTGCCGGATGCTTTCCCCAGTCTAAAAACATAGAAAAAACCCGATCAAAAGCATCCTAAGACTTGGATCGTCACTATCTCCGCCCCAAGAAAATACCACCGTAATGGTCATTCAGAAGTGGTCAATCCTTCTTGTGCACCATCATGAATGCCCAAACAAGTTTTCACCGAAACTGGCCCAAACTCATGGCTAGCTTGGTCGGTTTTGAACAATCAAAACAGTTAGTAACAGTTCGTATGTCTTATATATGGCAAAAATCATGCAGTATTTTCCCGTGGCCCGTTGTCAACTCAGAACTCCCCACCTGCCCGGTCAACTACCGGATCCCACCAAGGTTAACTCCGCCAAGAAACACGTCACACATCAAGCCCTCCGGAAGCTCATCATCTTCAATGCCTTGAACCAGGAAACCTCGATCGAGTTTTGCGCCGGATGAGACCAATTTTGAAGCCTCAAAATGCGAGGCTCGACCCTCAATTTACATACAGAAAATCAAACAAAATCAAGACTTTAGTATCTTTAGTTAGTACATGTTTGTACGTTAACTCTTGTTTTGGGACACGTGAAGGGTCAAGGGACTCTTAAAAAATGGGGTTCACAGTGACAAAATCATGCTTAGTAAATCACACATATCACACCTTTTCACGGCTACCCTCTGGTAATTTAACATAGCTATTGAAAATGGCCCATTTATAGATGGTTTACCTATTAAAAATGGTGATTTTCAATAGCTATGTTAAATTACCAGAGGGTAAATCAAATGTATCATGGGATACAACAGCTGTTTTAGGCGTAAAATTTTCGTACGAGCCAATTTCTACAGCCATTTCTGCTTCCCTCATTTGGATGCGCCACACATGGAACATGGATCGAGCAACTCACCCGGTTATGCCGTATTATCTACACATTCAAATCACAGGCACACGATTCAACCATGAAACATGTGGCCGGATTTCCAGACCATAAAATTGGTGTCCGAAAATGGGTGAAAATCAGCGAAAATCCCTTTTTGTCCATGGTTTATTCACCGGTGAAATACAGTTTTATGGCCCGTTATATACCAGTTATTAAAGTCAGTATACGTTGCCCAGTTTATGGAATGATAAGCCCATGGATAACATGTTATAAACATTTATAATAATAACACCATATTTATATCAATTTATAACCAATCAAGAACCATGTATACCTGTTCAAGGACGTTTACTGTATGTTTGAGAGGTAAATCATCTTAACGTCCCTGGCTGTGTTGGCTGCTTTTAGCCATGGGAAAATTTCAGCCACCAAGAGGCCAAAGTGCACCTTGGTTCGGGGGATCATGTCCCTGTAGCTGCACAACCTTGCTCCGGTCCGCGGGTTGTGATCGACCATGATCAACCATGATCAACCCATGGACATTTCTGGGGTGCCTCTCTTTTTTTTTGGAATGTCACATGGATTCACATGGCTATTCAATTGGCTTTGTTTCCTGGAAATTCTAGCAGTGAAGCCTGGTATCTACCCGTAAGATTCCGGAAGTACAGGACCTTTCTTGCAAAAACAAAAACCTGGAACCAATTCGGGGACCAAGATCAATGGTTTTGGATCAAAACAGCTGAATGTCATAGGTATATACTCTGAACCTGGATTCAGTAGTTCCTCCAAGTATTGTATCCTTCAGGTTGTCATCCATGCCCAATCCTGGAAATATGGATGGAACCAATCAAATTGATTAATATATATATATATAATATAGGCAATATGTATGTATGTATGTATGTATGTATGTATGTATGCATATATATATATATATGGAGATTTCCAAAATCAAAAATGAAGGTACTCCAAGCCACCATTGTTTTTCAGTACTTAGCCATGGTCCTCCATGACTTGGATGATTTGGGGTACCCTTATTTGAGGAAGCCCTCATATATAGAGATATTATGTGACATATCAAGCAGCAAACAAAATCATTATATCACCCCTGACGCTTTTTTCGCAATGTGATTGACGAATTCATGGTTCTGTTCATGCATTCTTTTTCTCCCGCTGGTGATAAATTTCTCTACAAAGGGTTGCAGGATGGTGCCCCATAGTTAGCTAAGTTGGTGTATAACTACGTACAAACAAACCATAGTGTATGATACGCAAATAACATTTATAACCCATAGGATCCATGTATGCCATATATGGTAACATGGATCCCATTAATATACCCCCTTTATAGTATATATACTAGCACCATGGATCCTATGGGTAACTATATTTGGATGAGGGTACCAACTTACAACTGGAGGGCCCCATCCGACGTGGAGACCGGTCAGGTTTCATGATGATCCGTATGTGGTGTCACTGAAAAAACTGCCATCACCGGTGATGCCGACAAGTTACGTTTGGTGGTACCCCGCAGTTATGTTTGTTTGTTTGGTTTCATACCATTACTTGTATATATATATGATATATATATATATATCTATGTAGCGTCTAAGCATCCTCAATGATTTCATCCATGATTTCCCTAGTGAAATATGAATGAAATAAACCAACTCAGCTATCATAGCTATCATGGTGAACTCCTCACGGCGCCATGCGTCCCGAATCCCCTCCCCGAATCCCTGGGCGAATGTTGGATGGCCAAGGTGCATTTTGCGCACCTTGCGACAACAGAACTCCAATTTCACAATGCTTTGTGATACTGACCCTATGGATCCAAGTACCTTCTTAGGAAGTACTTGGGGTATGATTTAGAGGATTAGGATGGGTTAAGTACCTTCTCAGACAGTGTTTGGATCCATAGGGTGATAACATCTTAACTATAGTCAATGGCATTCAATGGCTTTATAAACCAGCTATAATTATAACCAACTGATATCTGAGGCCCACATATTTTAAGAGTTGTGTACATCTTCCTGCGACGTGCGGATTTCTCTAGGGAGATGCTATTAGGTCAAAGATTGGATACCCCCACGGTCTCCTGTGATTCTCAGACAGACTCTGGCAACCACCATCTGGACATATCTGGACTGATCGTCTTGAAAGAAAAATATGCAGCTTGCACTGCTATGACTTTGGAGACTAGGCAGTGGAATGTTCTGGGTAGACTGATCCTACACACATGGGCATCTAAGCTCCATGCCTTGGGACCAGGTTGTTGCAACTCCAGTTGCATTGGGATGTCAGATTCTATAATAGTTACTTCAAGGTTCATTCCAGCTACAGTCAGTGCTTAACAGGGAACCAGGCTTATAATTCATTTCTGTAGTCATCTGTAGTCATCTGTAGTCCAATGTATGCCACTTATGAGCCATTCAAAACCCCAGCATTTTGGCGAGTGAAACCACAATGTTTGTTGCTTCCATCCCATTCTAGCTCGACCTTTGGGGGTTGCTAAATATCCCATTGATATCATCCTTCAAATCATGTTGAGTTCCTATTTAAGGGATATCATTCTAAAAATCAAGATCCACTATAATGATATATATATATATATATACATACATCATACGTGTATATATATATAGTTATATATTTCTAAAACTTATATATATATATACGTATTGATCATGAAGTCTCACACTCACATTTATACTTGCAGCTAGGATGCTAAGATATTCCAGCCCCGAACGTCGATGCCAATCTCGACCCATTCCATGTCGGGGTCCTGGCCCAAAGAATCTGCCACTCAAAAAATGGGGGGATTCATCAGGAGCTCGTCCATCGGTCCATCATCCCAAGGTAAGCCTAAGGGAAACCCTCTCGTAGTCAAACATCCTTAAAAACATGGCAATGGGATGCAATGGGCAATCCATCATTTTAAGATGTTCCCCTGATTAATATTTATGGTTATGAATCCATGGTATTAAACATCATTGTTGAACAGTGTTGGATACTGGCTAATGATGGTTAATGATGGTTAATGATGGTTAATAATGGTTAATAATTGGAATAATGTGGGTAAAACAATGTCATAAACCACCCATTTGGGAATGGTTTATACAACCTATTTATGGTGATTTGGGAGATGCTTCATTCCCACCTTGACGATGTAGCCGGACTTGGTGATCAAGCACGGCTTGCCGTTGTATTCCTGAGGACAGGCGAGTCAATCAAGGAATGCTGCACCATGGTAGACCATATGGTAGATCCATCTTGTACTGGTTAACCCTCACAAAGACGCAAAACTACAATGATAGGTACGAAACAATCACGCCTTGTCTTCATTGAGACACACATCAACAAAAACAATCTCCAAAACATCTAAACTGGTTGGTGGTTTCAACCCCTCTGAAAAATAGTCAGTTGGGATGACTATTCCCAATATAGGGAAAAATAATCCAAATGTTCCAAACCACCAATCAGTAAACCATCTAAAAAACTTGCCCTAGCAAAGATCCAAAAAAAAGAAAACATGTTACGAAGCTCTCGGCCCAGAGACATGCAGCATCTCTGGGACATTGACATCTTCGGGATTCAAACACTTAGCATTCGCCTAGCAGCGATCCGATCGGCAGCATCCGTAGAAAAACCGCACGGGAGATCGATCAGTGAACTTCGCACTTGCCGGTAGTCACATAGCCATAGCTATTGAAAATGGCACATTTATAGTGGATGTACCTTTAAAAAATGGTGATTTTCCATAGTTATATTAGTTTACCAGAGGGTAACTTTTCTTGAGAAACAAACATTTCATGAAGTTACCACAGTAGAAGTCGCAAGGCTTTGCCGCCTTTGCCTAGAATGCTCGGATCACACACCAAGTGTTTTTGTTTAGTCCATCAAAGCAACGACAAACTTCAACGACTTTATGCCAATTTCGCATAGGGAAAGACTTCAACGACTTGATCAAGACGCAGAACATGCCAACCCATCCCGGATGAACAAACATATGGGTGCACAGAAGTTGGTTCCCCATGTCTTTATCTAAGTTTATAACATTTTATAACTAGGTTGACTAGGGTTGATGGTAGATATGTCCCGGCTTAGGTGGGCTTACCAACTTGTTAGCGGTTGACCGTGTGAAATTGAGACTGTACCCTGCACATCCCTGCACCCTTGACATGTTAAATGCATTTAAATGCCTCAACACGCAGGGTTAAGCTTGGATATTCGTCCATCATCCATTATCATGATCCTCTACCCACAGTAGCTCCGGCCTTAAAGATTCCAGATTGGATGTCTTTCTTTTTGCCTCGGTCTCGACAAGATGAGTTAACCCAGCACAAGAAGGAATGCACTATTGGCATCTATTGGCACCACATCCGCTGCAGCTATGCGTTAACCTCAATAATAGTTTGAAAGCTATCAAACCAAGAAACTAGCACCACGAAAACTCGCCTTAAACAAGATGACCCACCTTAAAGATGTGTCATGTGTCATGATGTTCCCACTTAAAATGGACAATTCATGACCGAGAAATCGTCGGACTGATCCTCGGTGACTGATCCGCCGAAAATTTGAACCTCTGAAAATATTGGGTTTAGTTTTTGGGCTCGCTGGACATAAACCATACAATGTAGATCAATCTAGTTATAATTAGAACATGTTAGAAACATTTAGAAACTCTGTCAACTCTATGTTTTTCATTGCTCCTGGAGTCACAGGAAAAATACGCTGTCAAATCATGAGATGTGGAAATCGCAATGAATTGCATGCTGAGTTACATCTCTTGATTTATTATACATGCTCATTCAATATGAAATAACATGAAATAGCATGACAAACATGAACAGTAAATTGAGAGATGTATATATACAGTTACATCATTGTTCTTGAATTTAAAATTGTAGATTGTCATTGTGTTACCCTCTGGTAATTTAACATAGCTATTGAAAATGGCCATTTCTAGTTTATTTTCCCATTCAAAATGGTGATGTTCCATAGTTATGTTAGTTTACCAGAGGGTAAACCTCCATTTTCCATCATTTTCCATCATTTTCCTATGGTTTTCCTATGGTTTTCCCATTAAAACCCTCCATTTTCCACTACAAGTTCATGACAAGGAGTTCTCACGATTCCACCCAATCATCCAGATGTTCCTTGCATTTCCCAACAAAAATCGAGATGTTCCAACATCTTCCCTGATTTTCCCTGATTGTTTCATAGTTGTCCCATCACTTTCCATGGTTTTCCCAACATTTTCTATGGTTTTCGCCTAGTTTTCCATAGTTGTCCCATAGTTTTCCATGGTTTTCCCAAGGGTTTTCCCATCGCTTAACGGACGCCACGTGCCGCGCCAAGGCACCCGGTGACAGCCGCGAGGCCAAGCTTCGATCCGGGTCGCAGCGGGAGCCCAAGGGGAGGCCCGCAGGGCCTGTCGACAGATCGGCAGATGGTACCTATACCCTATAGGTATGGTAGATACTCTGCAAACAATTAAATTCTTAGCTGGTGAACGGAGATAATCCCATTGATACCATATATGCTAACATTTGGGGTATATTGATGGTAAATGTTACCATATATATAGCATACATGTTTTTTTTAACATAGCCATGGAAAATCACCATGTTTAATAAGTAAACCATAAATCACAATGTTATAATAAGTAAACCATCTATAAATGGGCCATTTTCCATGGCGAACTGTTAAATAACCAGAGGGTAAATGTTCTCATTATATGGGTATATATGCTAACATAAAGGGGGTATATTGATGGGATCCATGGCACACCATATATAGCAGCACCATGGATCCCAGTTCGTTAGCTAAGTTGGTTTGGCGCCCCACATTCTAGAGGTGCCCGCCTGCGAAGAAGTCGATGAGTTGCTTTATCTCTGGGGGTGGTTCTTTACCTGGGCTCTTTGGGCCTTTCGGTCGATGGAGGACGCAGAAAAAAACGCTTGGGAAGGCTCGTTTTGGGAATGACTCGTTGGGATGTTTTTGAAGATGATTGGTTGAGGTTTGCTGAATTTTGGGATCGGAAGGTTCTGTTGAATGAAGATCGTTTACTATCTATTGATTATATAACCATATGGCAGTGTGTCAAAACCTTGTACCCCTGGTGAACATCAAAATAGCTGGTAAATGGATGTTCATCCCACTAAAAATGGTATTAATGGGTATTGATCCATTCCCATATAACCATAGTTCTCTTAGCCAGATGCAGATGGGCAGTTTCTGAGGCAAACATGGAGACAGCGCCAAGGAGTTTCGACCCAGAGACTCATGGAGGACGAGACAGTCTCTGGCGCGATGTGGAAAAAGGCGACAAAGCCTTGGCCATGGATGCCATGGTAACCTTAAAAAAATCTGGCAATTTTAAGGGGAGAAAATGACGGTGGCAAATGGTGGAAATAAAAAGTTGGTATAGTTTGTTTTTATAGAAACACCTCTATGTAGACATTACATCATATTACATCTCTAGGTAGGAGCTGCATAATGATAAATGTAACCGATCATCGATGATAATTGTACAGTATAACGGTTTCTTGAGGGCCACCCCAATGACCCAACAACATCGGATGTTTGCTGTCAGACATCAACAAATTCTGTGGGTAGAGTCTCAAGACTCTCTGATCTTGACAAAAACCCTGATATAACTTAACTTACTCCTTCTAAAATCATACCCTCTGGTAAACATACAAAAAACTATGAAAAATTATCATGTTCAAATAGGTAAATCAACGAACTAAATGGCCATGTTCAACGGCTATGTTAAATTACCATAAATTACCAGCCTGGCTATGTGATTTTTTCCCCATCTTTATGGACAGATTGGGGTTCCCATTTTCTCACACGCCCGACTCCATAAGTCATGGGAAATCCCTACAACTGTCATGGTTAAATAATGTGAACAATCACCTTTTTGGTTGCTTAAATTAATCATCTTAAATCAACTATATATTTCACTAGGCCAGAGATATCCCAAAAAATTATCTGGTTGCTTTTCGCCAGCCCTCTGAAAAATGATGGAGTTCGTCACTGGGAAGGATGACATCCCATATATGACATGGATTGACATGGATGATTTACATTGATGTACCCTCTGGTAAACGTTTACATAACTATGGAAAGATCCACCATTTTCAATGGGTAAATCCACTATTTCTATGACCATTAACCATAGATTAACCATATATGAACCATAGATTAACCATATATGAACCATAGATTAACCATATATGAACCATACATTAACCATATATTAACCATACATTAACCATATATTAACCATACATTAACCATATATTAACCATACATTAACCATATATTAACCATACATTAACCATATATTAACCATACATTAACCATACATTAACCATATATTAACCATACATTAACCATACATTAACCATATATTAACCATACATTAACCATACATTAACCATATATTAACCATACATTAACCATATATTAACCATACATTACACCATATATTAACCATACATTAACCATATATTAACCATACATTAACCATATATTAACCATACATTAACCATATATTAACCATACATTAACCATATATTAACCATACATTAACCATATATTAACCATACATTAACCATACATTAACCATATATTAACCATACATTAACCATACATTAACCATATATTAACCATACATTAGGAACCAGACAGGATATATTAGGAGGAAACCAGACATATACCAGAACATAGGTAGGAACATACAGGAACATAGATTAACCATAGTCAGGAACCAGAGGAGGAATATGAGACCCATACTGGAACCATAGAGGAACCATAGAACAGGAAACCATTAACCATATATTAACCATACATTAACCATATATTAACCATACATTAACCATATGTTAACCATACATTAACCATATATTAACCATACATTAACCATATATTAACCATACATTAACCATATATTAACCATACATTAACCATACATTAACCATATATTAACCATAGATTAACCATATATTAACCATATATTAACCATACATGAACCATATATTAACCATACATTAACCATATATTAACCATACATTAACCATATATTAACCATACATTAACCATATATTAACCATACATTAACCATATATTAACCATACATTAACCATATATTAACCATACATTAACCATACATTAACCATACATTAACCATATATTAACCATACATTAACCATATAACCAACCATACATTAACCATACATTACCCATACATTAACCATATATTAACCATATATTAACCATACATTAACCATATATTAACCATACATTAACCATAACATTAACCATAATTAACCATATATTAACCATACATTAACCATACATTAACCATACATTAACCATATATTAACCATACATTAACCATATATTAACCATACATTAACCATATATTAACCATACATTAACCATATATTAACCATACATTAACCATATATTAACCATACATTAACCACATATTAACCATACATTAACCATATATTAACCATACATTAACCATATGTTAACCATACATTAACCATAGATTAACCATACATTAACCATATATTAACCATATTAACCATAGATTAACCATACATTAACCATAGATTAACCATACATTAACCATATAACCATACAGTAACCATATATTAAGGATTAACCAATATTAACCATACATAAACCATATATAACCATACTTAACAAAACATTAACCATATATTAACCATAGATTAACCATATATTTAACCATACCATAATTAACCATATAAACATTAACCATATGAAACCATACATTAACCATATATTAACCATACAACCATATAAACCATACATTATATATTAACCATACATTAACCATAATTAACATACATTAACCATATTAACCATAACCAGAGAGGCAAACCATACATTAACCATATATTAACCATACATTAACCATACATTAACCATACATTAACCATATATTAACCATACATTTAACAATATATAAGGAACCATACCATTAACCATACATTAACCATACATTATATATTAACCATACAACCATTAACCATATATTACACCATATATTATACCATATTATATAACCATACATATATTAACAGATATTAACCATATATTAACCATACATTAACATACAACCATTTAAACCATATATTAACCATACATTAACCATATATTAACCATACATTAACCATATATTAACCATACATTAACCATATATCATTAACCATAGATCAACCATAGATTCACCGTATTCAATGGCCATTGAAGTCGTCATGGAACCCAACCCACCATCGGCCAGATCTGCCGAGGCGCTCGCGCCGGGATCTTCCGATCTCCAGGGGACGATGCCCGTCTCGTAGGGCAACATGAGGTTCATGCAGATGACCTCAGCACGTCCAAGGGACTTCGGCGTGGCGTTTAAAGGACGGGTTTTTTGGGTTGAAAAAAAATGACCCCCAAAAAAAATGGACCTGAAAAAATGGAGGGTTTATGCAATTTGAATGATGATCTCACTGAGAAAACGATGTTAAAAAGAACAAATAGCGATTCTGGAAGTATTCCTTTCAATCGAAGATTGAAAGCAGTTATGATCCCCCTCCAAGTCAGGGAACAGCAAGGACACGCTTTTTGGTGTTCCATGATTTCCAATTCAGCCAGTTGTCAAAACCATGGTGAATACCCCATCCCGTAGCCATGAAAAAAAATGGAACGAACACCTCCAGAGTCCACTACCTCGGATTTCTCTTATAGTTTCTCTGTAAACATCAGCTGGTAAGGAAAGTTCACCAACAAAAACAGTGAGGTATCGGGTTTTGTCACCCTGAAGAGTGGACATGTCATCAATGGGAATTTCGGGGTCCTAAAATAGAGGTGCTGTATTACTGTACCATGTACAAAGCTGCTATATTTTGGTGGTGTATATCCCCTTACATAGGCCTTGTGTATGGTAGGTACCTCCAATAACGGTACCTGGAGTGGTCATTGACAAGTTGGCTAATGTTCACCCGTGTAAATCCAGATATATCCGGTTCACGGAAAGGACATCCACAAATTTGGGAAGGTCCCATCGCTTACCACACGTTTGTACAATTACGCGCAAACACCCCGTTTCGCCCACACCCTTCTTGTCTTGGGAAGATCAACAAAGGTATCAGGGAATAAAACAGTCCCACCCCCTCTAAACTTCTACATGCATTGAAGATCTTCAATAAGGGTTCAATTTTCCCACCCGCGTTAAACCTCTACATTCATTCAAGATCTTCAATAAGGGTTTAATTCTCCCACCCCCGTTAAACTTCTACATTCATTGAAGGCTATCAATAAGAGTTTAATTCTCCCACCCCCATTAAACTTCTACATTCATTGAAGATCTTCAATAAGGGCAGGTTTAATTCTTCCACCCCCGTTAAACTTCTACTCCCATCGGGGTTAAACTTCTATATTCGTTGAAGATCTTCATTGATGATGATGATGATGATGATGATGATGTGGTGGAACGAACCCGCACCGGTCCCTCTGCTGCGCGTTCTGATCTAGAACATCAAGTTACAGTAACCATGATGCTAAAATATTCATTTTTAACACGTTTTCAGCTCATACGAAGAAGGCGGGCCAACAGGTGCGGGCAAGACGAGGTGTTTGGCCGTGCAATTATTATACATGGTAAAATTGGGGGATATCGCTTGCAGGAAACTGCTAGATCTATAAATATACATATATATATATACAGAATTCACAGAAATCAACGTCCAATTTGGGTATCGCTAATGTGGATATTAGAGAAATACAATAACATAACCTTGAAAAGGGGTATCGCTAATTTGGGAAGGTCCCATCGCTTACCGTGTGTTTTGAACAATTTCCATCAATTTCCATAAACTAATGTCCGTCCAATACATATTGAGTATTGCCGGGGTTTTCGCGGTGGCTCATATGTAATATCTGATTCATATACTATTATTTATTTTTGGGGAATATGAATCCCACTTATCATCTGGTTATTTAACATAGCCATGGAAAATCACCATGTTTAATAGGTAAACCATCTATAAATAGGCCATTTTCCATGGCTATGTTAAATAACCAGAGGGTAAATGTTCTCATTATATGAGTATATAACAGTATATATGGTAACATTGGGGGTATATTGATGGTAAATGTTATCATATATAGCATACATGGATCCTATGGGATATTGATACATCACATACAGATTTTCGGAGCCTCTGACTGCCCAGCGACCCTTGGCAACGGACAGGAAGGTGTCCATTGCGAAGCGCCGGGAGGATGCTTCGCCAGGAAGCTTTCCCTTGGCGCATCCCAAGTGGTAGCCCGCCAGTTATGTTTCTTGGTTGATCAATCTATCTACCTACCTACCTACCTACCTACCTACCAAAGTAATTATAGACATATCATGAAATATCTATTTATAGATATATCATGATATATCTATATTCCTAAACCCTCCTAAACAAGGTCGTAAATCATCATAAACCGACTCCTTGCGACTTCGAACCGAACCAAGTACTTGTAAGTGGTTTAATTATAATGCGCATCATATAACTTGTTTGTTTTTTCTTATCAACAAATTCTTACCAACTGGCATACTGGGATACAACCGGGCGATTTCCTGCGCAGACGAGGTCCTTTTTTTGGTAGCACATTGTAGCACGGGGCTTGGGAAAGAACTGGAAATCATTGAAAATCTATGAATAGTAATAGTATATCCCATAGGATCCATGGTGCTGATATATTTACCTACAAAACTGGGTGATTTATGAGGTAAATGTTGGTAAATATTCCAGCACCATGGAGCATATGGCTAATAGTAGTGAGAATATTCGCAACAAGAACGAATAATAACATGGAAAACGTGAAAAATGGAACGTGACCCAGAGATCCCAGAGATCCACCCATCGACGTTGGTTGGCAACCGAATGTTACCGCCATAATGTTATCATAAGAAACACCAAAAAAATATCGGAATCCTCCAATTTTTCTTCACGATCTGGAAAACCCATCAATGGATCTCAACAGGAACATGATCTACCCGGCCTGGTAAACATACAAAAAGCCCTAACCATCCCAACTTGATTGGGGCTCTCGTAAGCGTTCGGGACCTCGGGGAGCACTCCCCGAGGTCCCAACATGCTAACAAGATCTAACAAGGGTTCCAAACTATCTATCCCTTTTGATTCAACCGTTGCGCCCCCGAAATATGACAAGATATTCGACAATGGTTGAGGATAAGACGAAGGAACCCTTCAGCTGTTAGATTGTGAAGCTCTGTAGCATCTAGGGGTCAGAAATCAGCTGGTTGAGAGGTGCGGCTTGTTCTCCGCACCTGATCACAACTGCCATGATGAAGTAAGTAAAGAATCAAATTGGTTCTCATTTGGTATTTCCCGGCTTCCTTCCAACCTATTGGACCTATTGGTAGGGTTCCAGAGGTTACAGGGGCGACTCTGGCAATGCTTAAAGATCATTTGGGATTGGTCAAAGATACATCTTATGCACATGTTGTTTTATGATCCTTCCCGACTGCTATTGACTGAATCTCCTACAGTAGGTGTTTTTCCTTATTTTGTTTGGCTCTCATATTCATTCCTGCCGCGCTTCTTTTGGGCTGTTGATTGGTTGTTTTTGATTTTGTTGTGCGTGTCTATGTCTTGTAGCGTAGCCCTTCTTTCCCATACACCGTGCCGTGGCTCATCTCTTGTATTTTGGTCCTCGCGCCCTCACCGCAGAAGGTGTGCATCATCACCCTCGTATTCTTCATGAGGCTGTATGCTGCCATGACCGTGGCCCCGCCCCACTTGTATGCCCGCAGTTTCTTCACCTCTTCACGCCAGTCCTCCTCAAAGCCTTGCTGCTCGGCAGCATGCTCTGCCATGTAATTGGCGATGTCGATCCTCAAGGCAGCGCCGTCCTCTCCGTCGTGGCACCCCAACGCGTGGAAGAGGCAATCTCCGTCGCCGACTACTTCAATGCGGCCCAAGGGCTGCCAAATAGCCACCTGCTGTTTCAAAAGCACGTTGCTTTTCAATTCCGGCTGGATGGCTCTGGATTTCAGTTGTTTTACATTCGTTTCCCTTTAGATGTCATCGGGCTGGGTGCTTGTGAGCCAAGGGTGAAAGACCATTATATTTGTCAAGCTGACCCGTCCTGTCTATATGCTGCCGATAATTACTATCCCAAGATTGTGGCCTGGACTCGCGCACGCTTTTTGCAGGTGTATCTTTGATATTAACTTATAGTATTGCAGGCATTTTTTGCATCCAAGAAACAAACAACTACAGAAAGCGCTTCAAAACTGCAAATCTTTGCGGCCAAGCCCACTGGGACGAGCCGAGGTCACCGTTTTTCTGAATGTATACTCACCTTTTGATATAGTCAATATTTGCCAACAAAAACAATGCTTTCAATTTGCGATATGCTTGTATACAGGCAGGCTTCTTTGAGGGCTGTATGGCTTCTGTGTTCCTTCACATTTGCAAACATTTGGTAGGCTATTTACTTGGTTGCTCATTTTGATAATGACTTCACTCTTCACAAATGATATCAGTAAGGTAAGGCTAAAAGCATTTCTTGCACAAGTTCTATACAGTATTCTACTTTGTAGATTAGCCTACCAGGGGGGCCAATGGGTCAACCCCTGCTTACTCATCCATGCCTTTCACCAATCTCCAGTACCAGTGTGGGCTGGATCCTGCTGTTCTTCAGGCTGCTTTTAACAAATACAAATACAATCAAATACATCATATGTCTTTTACGTAGTCCCGGTCATTCCTAAGCAAAGCTATAAGCATGTGTTGCTGATGCGCAATGCGGCTCATGGTTCAGTATTGACAAAGGACAAGGTGTTTCAAGCACGTTTTGGTGACAAAGTCCTGTATTTGTTTATTGCTGAATCGATATCTCTCACACACCATGTCGCTAAACAGGACCCACTAACAGTTGGAACAAAGACAATGAATCTATTCATGCATTTTCTCAAAGATTGCATGCCCCATTTGATTTGTCACCCTGCCTGGGGGATAATGTTGAACATACTGGACTGGATTGGCTAAATATGGCTAAATGTTATGTGGCTGAGCCATACCGAACCCTGCTAGGATTGGCCCTCCAAATGTTTCTGACGGGTTTCCGACGGCGGTACCTCAAAAGGTCCTGATTTGAGGGCCCATGTAAGTGTTTCCGACGGGTTTCCGACGAGTTTCCGACGGGTTTCCGGGTTCCCGGCCAGGTTCCCGACGGGTTTCTGATGGGTTTCTGGTTTCCGATGGGTTTCTGATGGGTTCCGACGATTTACGAAATCCTATGTGCTCTCACATGAAACGCCGCAATGTTGCATGAAATAGAGCTACCTAAATACTAAATTGTTGAAACTTCCAGGGCGAAACTACTCCGGTGTTGGTCTGAACCATGGGTTTTAGAGGTAGAGTTCGACAACACAGTAAACAATTTGGGATGACCTGGCACAAGACTAGGATCAACTTGTACGTTCCTTCCCAGCCAGCTATTGAACCCATTCAGTTCCTCTAATATGTGATTGATTCGTTAACATTTGCTTTCCCTGTTTATTTTGTTTGTTGCTCTATCTTCATCGTTACTGTACATGTTTCCTTAATTTGAATTTTGTTTTGTCCGTTATATATCCATATCTATTCCTTTGGTTTTCTTGGACCTTGTTGTTCACTTTGGGGTTCCTTTTGGATACCTTCCTGTGGATATCCTTGTGCTCGTTTTGGACCTTTGCTGCGAGACGTGATCCGGAGAGAGGTCTGCAGAGTTGGTTTCGACCAGCGAAACCCGAAACCCGAAACCCGAAACCCGAAACCGACTGTTAAAGTTGGTTTCGAACTGCGAAACCCGAAACCCGAAACCCGAAACCCGAAACCGACTCTGAAGACTTAACTTCCCCAGGACCGACCGAAACCCGAAACCCGAAACCCGAAACCCGAAACCGAACTTATATACCTTCCCCAGGACCCGAAACCCGAAACCCAAAACCGACTCTGAAGACTTAACTTCCCCAGGACCGACCGAAACCCGAAACCCGAAACCCGAAACCCGAAACCCGAAACCGACTGTTAAAGTTGGTTTCGAACTGCGAAACCCGAAACCCGAAGCCCGAAACCGACTCTGAAGACTTAACTTCCCCAGGACCGATCGCTAACCTAATCTAATCTAATCTAATCTACCTAATCTAATCCAATTCTAATCTAATCTAATCTAATCTACCTAATCTAATCTATTTCTAATCTTATCTATCTAATCTAATCTAATCTAATTTAATCTACCTAATCTAATCTAATTCTAATCTAGTTTAACCTATCTAATCTTATCTACTCTACCTAATCGAATCTAATTTTAATCTAATCTAATCTACCTAACCTAATCTAATCTACCTAATCTAACCTAATCTATCTATCTAAGTAATCTAATTCTAATCTAATCTTATCTACCTAATCAAATCAGATTCTAATCTAACCAAAACTAATCTAATCTAATCAATCTAATCTAATCTATCTAATCTAATCTAATCTACCTATTCTATAAAAATTCTTATTCCAATCCAATCTAATCTACCTAGTCTAATCTAATCTAATCTAACCTAATCTACTTCTTCTAATCTTATATTTCTAATCGAACCTAATCTAATCTAATGATATCATATCATATCATGTCATCTCATATCATATCATATCTATCCAACTAATCTAATCTAACCTAATCTAATCTATCTAGATAACCTAATCTAATTTAATCTACCTAAACTAATCTAATCTAATCAAATATAATTCTAATCTCATCTCATCTATATAGTCTAACCTAATCTAATCTACCTAACCTACTCTAATTCTAATCTAGTTTAATCTATCTAATCTAATCTAATCTACCTAATCTAATCTAATCTAATCTACCTAATCTAATCTGATCTACTCTACCTAATCTAATCTAATCTAATCCAATTCTAATCTAATCTATTCTACCTAATCTAATCTGATCTACTCTACCTAATCTAATCTAATCTAATCTAATCCACTCAGTGACAGCTAGTTTCCCCCAAACCGTTGCCGTTTTTCCTCTCTGACCTTTTCAGGCGCTTGTCACTCACCGCTCTTGTTTTTGACGACTGCATGGAGAACGACACTTGGGTGATGTGAGATCGGCATCGTACTGGTGAATCTAAAGGTGGTTTCGACCTACGAAACCCGAAACCCGAAACGGACAGCTAAAGTTAGCTTCAATCGACGAAACCCGAAACCCGAAACCCGAATCCCGAAACCGACAGCGAAAGTTGGTTTCAGGCGACGAAACCCGAAACCCGAAACCCGAAACCGAAGCGAAAGTTGGTTTCAAGCGACGAAACCCGAAACCCGAAACCCGCAAAAGTGGTTTCAATCGACGAAACCCGAAACCCGAAACCCGAATTGGTTTCAAGCGACGAAACCCGAAACCCGAAACCCGAAACCGACAGCGAAAGTTGGTTTCAAGCGACGAAACCCGAAACCCGAAACCCGAAACCGACAGCGAAAGTGGGTTTCAATCGACGAAACCCGAAACCCGAAACCCGAAACCCAAAATCCGAAACCGACAGCGAGAGTGGGTTTCAATCGACGAAACCCGAAACCCGAAACCCGAAAACGACGGCAAAAGTGGGTTTCAATCGACGAAACCCGAAACCCGAAACCCGAAACCGACAGCGAAAGTGGGTTTCAATCGACGAAACCCGAAACCCGAAACCCGAAACCCGAAACCGAAAGTGGGTTTCAATCGACGAAACCCGAAACCCGAAACCGACAGCGAAAGTGGGTTTCAATCGACGAAACCCGAAACCCGAAACCCGAAACCCGAAACCGACTCGAATCCGACTTTTGGGTGGCTCTCCGGATCGGAACTCTTTGCTGCTATCCTTTTGGAATCAGGACTCATATTCATGGCTGAAATTACCAATCGTTGGATGCATTCAGTTCCTATATAACTTGGAGCCGCGAGGTCGCAGTCCCTGATGATTTTTCCCTATAGTCAAAACATTCTTCCCCTTTCTGGAACAATGTGGGCAATACCTGACTTGTGACTGCTACATGCTTGAAAAGGAGTTTGGAAATCATCCGTTACATGCATTAAGACGAAATCTACTAAGTTTCCACTAGGATGCATATGCCATCTAATCTAGGCTTTGATACGGAGCCAAATGGGCGTACATGGGCGTACTTTTCCGTACAGTATATGTGTGCGTACGCTTTTGGATTTGACTTGTGCAATATATGTATATATCAGTGCAAGGTTTCAATCCTTCAAACACTTGGTGTTGTTTTTTTCGTTAGCTTCATCAGTGCATCTTGTTGGTTGATTGTTCTTTTTAGGATTGCCTCGCACAAGATGTCGCTAAGCCGAGGCAAATAAAATAGCATAAAATAGCATCATATATAGAAAATTACTGTCGAATTCCCTTGTAAATGTCCTTCATTTGAAAACAAACGCTGAAATATTTTGAAATATAGAATCTAACTGACATTTGTTGCCTTCTGTAGCCCCACATGGGCTAGATCCGTGCATTGCTCTGTGCGACTTGTTTGATTGCGGTTTTAGTTTTCGACCAACAAAAAAACTGCTGGGACAAACAATTCAAAGGGGTATTCCACAAAGAATTTTGGCTGAAGAGCCGGCCTGTTTGTCTGGGTTGTATATGTATAATTAAGCCTAAGCAGCATGTACTAGACAACATTTGGTAATTATATATATATAATTATTATACTATTAAACATTTCACGCCAAAAATCTCTCCTGACAATTTCTGTGATGCACTGGTGGTTCCTGGCTGCACTGCAAAACACATAACAAGATGAAAATGCACAAAAGATATCAAACTTGTGTAGTTTATGACGGGCATGTCCATTGATCATATTGAGCATGTTTTGAACACGTATGAACAAATTAATTGTCAATCAGTTTTTATCAGTTTTTGGTACCTCGGTACCTCGGCCTATGTTCCCCGAGGGCCCCGACCCCTCCCTCAGAGGTTCGAGGTACCGACCCCTCACTCAGAGATACGGGTATCTCAATACCAGGTGCCTGTGATTCTTAGGGAGCTATTGAAAATGGCCCAGTCGAAATAGTGGATTTACCCATTAAAAATAGTGATTTTCCATAGCTATGTTAGTTTACCAGAGGGAATTCTATTCTATAGCAATATCGAACAAATTGAGCGGAGGGTATCTTTACCCATCCAAATAGCAAGGTAGCAACAATTTGCATGTTCCTGATTTTGTGAGAACCCTTTTTTTGCTGCAAATAGAGTAATGCCAACGTACCCTAACCATATGTCATGCAAATGGGATGACCCCAACATATAGCCATATGCTCCATGTATGGAATATTTATCAACATTTGCCCCAAAAATCACCCAAATGTAGGTAAATATACCATACATGGAGCATATGGGATATGATAACTCAAGGGGTTACTAACACAGCATGGCCATGCATGGCCCGACTCGCTTTCTTCGGCTGAGTCGCTGCGTCGGCAAGTCGTGCACCGGGACCAACCGTCCGACGATGTCCTGTACCTGCGGTTGTATCGGTTGTCTCCCCAATGACTTGATGTCTTAAAGCCACTAACAAAACATCCCCAATGTTGCCATATATTATTATAAACCATCCCCAAGTGGTAGATTTATGACATTATGTTACTATATTTGTTTAAACATGTTAAAACCATCCCAAAGTGGTAAATGAATGTATATGACATTCTATTGCTGGGGAAAGCCACGTTACCAAAAATGACTTGCATGTTCAACCGTCATAGAAATGGAGGTTGCTGCTACTCCCTGTCTAAGTTTACCACATGGCCATGCGTTCAGGGCTGACTTTTGGGTTCCGGTATCTTCTGAGAAGTGGAACATAATCTTGCATCAATGCTCACCGCCTGATGCGAGGTAATTACTCCTCTGTCAAGGCCACGCAAAATGCGCCCAAAACAATCGTCAAACATTACCCCACAAACGCTCAAAGAAGATAAAACAAACACGTCGTGCCCGTTGAAGCATGTCGGTGGCCAGCCCAGAACCAAAGAAACGATGTAGAATCTGCATGAATCTGCTACTCTGCCCCTGACATCTGATAAGGCTCGGTTCTGATTTTCTCCTTCATTTGATGACAGTGTTAGGATAAATCCCGCACTTTGGGATTTCAAAACCAAATCATACCAAATCCGGGATTCGTGGCTGAAATCATGTTAAGTCCTTGTTGTCGAAATATATTTGGCGATGAAATCTGCATAAAATGTCTGGGTAACCTTCCGGTTTATCCACAACGGAGCCTTGACGTTGGACTTGAGGGCGTCACAGGTCACACAACTGTACATACCTCGGTGAAGGGACCAGATGTTAAAAACGACCAGAAACAAGACATTAAAAGCAACTGTAAGTTGCCGTTGTGTTGGTTGACTCTGATATCACTGATATCACTGATATCCATTTAAAATATTCTAAAATAACTTTATCTATCTTCATCATTCTGCATCTGTTATACAAAGGATGTTGCTGATTAAAAAAACATAAAATAAAAAAAAAATGTACAAACTTGAAACACGGTCAGGTTGCTTGGCCCTGAAAAATCTAGGCAGATCCCTAAACCGGAAATGTATAAGCCACATAAGGGATGATTCCCACCACTAATCACAGTGAGGTCGATGTGAGGTCGCTGTACAACAATTATTACAATTTTACCCGAATAAATAGAAGTGCAACAGTTTAACCCCCAAAATAGACCATCAATCATCCCTGGGATTTTAGAGGCTCCAATACGCTCCATACCGACCAGATTCCGTCACGCTTTTGTGGCTCAAACACAACGTGTTAAAGGACTCAGCTCTACAGTAATCTTGTTGGAAAATAACCCAATAAACCCACTAATAAACCCACTAAACCCATTAATCAACCCCAATAAACCCATTAATCAACCCCAATAAACCCACTTTGTGAATCGATTCCCAACCATCTCAGCGCTTCTGAGGGACTTTTGGTCTGCGATTCGCCTTTATTCCTGGCGAATTTGGGGCGTGTCAGAGATAGGTCTCAAGGGTTGGAACTTGTTGCGGGTTTCAAGTTACCATCGTGGCTGAAAATGAAGCTTCAAAATTACTGTGGTAGAACATGTGGTTCTGATTTAGAAACATGTACAGGATATGACAGGATCGTGTTGGACAATCAAGAGCACTCAGAAAGTTGGCCAATCTAGCCACACCCTCAAGTTACATGGTCAAAATGGTCTGCAGGATATTCTCTGCACATATAGGGACCATTGGCAACTGCTCTTTAGTTTCCTTTGCTGATTAGGGATATCCCCTCGCCCACCAGGAACCATGACTGGCAAGACCAGCAACATGCTGTTTCCATCAACCGCTGTGTTGGGGTTCATTTAACGTCCAGAAAAAATACATCATGTGCATCAAACTCAGGTTTGAAGCTTAAATCGCCCCCTACTTTCGTAATTTTCAGGGTCTATGTTTTTTGAGAGGATTTTATTTGCATTCATAAAGCAAATCAGCACAGTGGATCATCCTCATCATCCCTGCCGAGCTAGTCATAGAATCATGAGGGAAACCTGGAAATTACTGGGAACACATCATATTTCTCCCGCCCTGGAAACATGTTTCGGCCTCTTTTTGGGGGTTACTATCATGGTACTTCAAATAAAAACCAATGATTATCCATGTCCATATTCTTGAAGGGATGAACCTCCATAGCCAGCTAGTTGTGGGGTTCGGGTACAACAAAGGGAGTTCCTATCAAAACCACCCCGCGCCGGGTCGCGCCATCGTCCGCGCCGTCGCGCCTGAACTTTTTGTAGTTCGGCCCTTGTCGAACCATCAGTCCTTTGCCATCTCCTGCCACGCTGCAGCCTCTACTTGGAGGGACCATCCCACGGATCGAAAGTGGTTTTTCTGACCATAGTTCGTTCACCCATTGATGGAATCAGCTACCTGGAGGACTTACTAACTCTGGCTGGATTTATCATGATTTATATAGATCCTTAGTTTTGACTAGAAACATCACAAGAGTCGGATCTATATAAATGGAGATGAATTCAAGGGAATTGTTCAATGCCCGACATGCTTCCTTATCAGGCAGTAGTGGGCTTCAATGCTTTGGCAACTGAACTGACCTTTCATTCTCATACCGGAGATATATAGGGTGAACATAAAACTGTAAAGGTGTTTCTGAAAATGGCAGAACATCTTGCCCATAAAATGACAAGTTACAGTATATAAATTAACCAGTGGAACATGATGGTCCCGGGAGCATGATAAATTCACCCGTGGATTTAGGGCTAAAATCCCGTGGTGATCTCAACAGGATCATCCAAGCAGCTAAGGCGAGCTCCCCGTCAACTGCGGTCCATGAATCGTATGTTCATCCCAATTCCGGGATTTACCTTTTTGGGAAATTTTGATAAAATATCTAGCCTCTGGTTATTCAACATAACTTAAAAATCTTATGCTATATATTTATATAAAATGGCCCATGTGTAGATGATTTGCCTATGTAAACATTTTAAACTTCCATAGCAAAACTGTGACAAATTACCAAATGGTACCCAACATCCACTGCTGTGAAGGCCACATCGATGCCTTTCCCAGGAGTCCTTGGGCCCAATAGGGTCCTTCTCCAGTCCTGAGCTCGGGTGACTAGGGGAAAATCTCTGGAAATGGCTGGGGTATACCATGGTAGTGGGGTAGACCCCAAAAAAACAGGAATGGAATGAATGAAATGGACATATAGTTGATGTAGGCCATGACTAAATGGAGGCTTTATCATGGGGTTTACCACATCACCCTTGATATCATATATAGTGACCCATGACCCATACCTAATAATCCTAATATGAAGAACACATGGACGTGCTAAGATCAGTGTGCTTGGTAATTATTGGTTCATGCCGCGAATCGCCCTTACATTAGAAACTATAGTTGGAGGTGCATCTCAATTATAACAAGCCACAGATATATGCCATTATGCAATCATACATAAAAGCGGGTCCTCGGAATATATTCCAAACATAGCTGGAATATATTGGAATATCATATGCCTATGGCCTATGACCGGCTTAGTAACCGAGACATGCATCCAAGAACTCTAATGGGGCCAGTTAAGACTGCGGGATGCTTGTACGGAGTGGTTTCATCATCTAGCAATTTGATTGCTTATCTGCAAGAGTCTGAAATCCACCTTTGCTTGGGATCTATGTCTATGCCCGTATTTTGATGGGGTTTGTATGCAGGTTTTCCGTGGCTTCTATCCCCATGTTCCCGACTTCTATTGGGGTGATCACAACTATCCGCATATCCATGCGCTTCAATCCCACATCTTATCGTTTCCAAACCCCTTTTTTCATCCGATGCCTTTTAGTCTGTAACACATCTTGGTGAACCTCACCAGTTTCGCCATGTCCCATCACTGACACCGGATGACACCATGAACTCCACCGCCACCCCTTGGTTCACCCAGCGGCGGCGGCAGGTCGTCTTTGGTCCACTCCGTCATGGTCCGTCCCAGCCATTGACTCGTGGACGTGACCTCCACGGCCGAGTTGAAGGCGGCCGGCGGCACCTGGGAGTGCGGGTGAAGCACAACAAGACATGGGAAGTATAACTAGACGACGGTTGGCCCGAGAGCGAAAAACACGTTTATCAAGCAGCTCTGAGTATGGTAGTGGTAAAAATACAGAAAGGGACGCTCTCAGTCCCCACGTTTCTCAGTTCCCACGTTTCCACATGTCTGGACAGACGACGTGACAGATTACATATGAATCTTTGTTAGGAAAAATGTTACGTCTACGGAATTCATGCTTATGAATCTGTAGTGTCACTAACAAGCAGACTTGAGGAACACCTGACTCTGATTATATTTCTAATTCACAGGAAAGAAAGAGCCACACAGAAAATAAACGGAAAAAAAAATTGGGCTGACCCCCCCCCCCCCTAGATGGGCTATCTTGGCTATCTTGGTGGCTCTAGGTGGCTCTCTGGGCCATCTTGTCTGCTACAGCCTCATATGGTATTCTTATGGGACTTCCACTGGGTTCTTATGGGATTTCTATGGTATGTCTATGATATTTCTATGGAATTCCTATGAGATGTCTGAGGGAAATCTATGGTATTCTTATGGGATTTCTTTGTGGTTCCTATGCTATTTCCATGTTATATCTATGATATTTCTATGGGGATTTCTGTGGGATTTTCCATGATATGTCTATGATATTTCTATGGGGTTCCTATGGGATTTAAACAGGATTTCTATGGTACTTCTATGATATGTTCAGAGGATTTCTTTGGGAATTCTATGGGATTTACATGAGGTGTCTTGAGAATGTCTATGGTAGTTCTATGATATTTTCTATGGGACTTCTATTGGATTCCTGTGGGGTTCCATGGTAATTCTATGATATTTCTTTGGGACTACTATTGGATTTCTATGGGATGCCGATTGTATTTCTATGGGATTCCTATGGGGATTCCAAAGGATGTCTGTGGGATTTACATTGGAATCCTATGGGATTTCCATGATGTTTCTATGATATTTCTAGGGGGTTTCTATGGGATTTCTGAAGGGATGCTATGAGAATTCTATGGTATTCTCATGGGAGTCCCATTGGATTACTATGGGGGTTCTAAGGTGTCTTTGTGATGTTTCTATGGGATTTCTTTGGGATTACTATGGGGTTTCTATGGCATTCCTATGGGAGTTCCATGATGTTTCTATACTTCTATGGGATTACTATGGGATTCCTGAGGGAATTCTATGGGATTCTTTAGGGAATTCTATGGGATTCTTTTAGGATTTCTTTGTGGGATTCCTGTGCTATTCCATGTTAATTCTATGATCTTTATATGGGATTTCTGTGAGATTCCTAAAGGATTTCTATGATATTTCCATGGGATTACTATGGGGTGCCAATTGAAAGGAAGTTGAAACCATTTCAAAATAAATTCAAACTAAAGTGAAAAAACAACATCCAAACATTTTTTTCAAGGGGGTAGTCCATGAGCAAGAGATGAATCAAGACCAAAGGTTTCCCAAAAAAGATGAACTTCAGCCAACCAACAAAATCCATGAATGACAGTGATCTTCAATAGTATGTTTGTTGTGGTGGTCCTCTATTGTGTCCAGCTTTTTTTTTTGGCAGTAAACATTTTCCAAAATCATGTTCTCCTTCCCTTTTCCTTTGCTAATACGTTTCTCTTTTTTACTTTCTTAGCTCATTCTTTTGGAATTCTCAAAATGTCTAAATGAAAAGTTTTTTCCTAAGGGTGAGCTTCAGCCAGCCAAGGGATTTCCATGGGATGTCTGTGAAATTTATTTTGGATTTCTTTGATATTTCTATGGTATGCCTATTGGATTTCTATGGTATTCCTATGGAATTTCCATGATGTTTCTATGATATTTCTGGAGCATTTCTATGGGATTTCTGAAGGAATACTATGGAAATTCTATGGTATTCTTATGGGACTTCCAATGGATTCCTATGGGATTTCTATGGTGTTTCTATGATGTTTCTATGATATCTCTATGGAATTTCTATGGGATGCCTGAGGGAAATCTATGGTATTCTTATGGGATTTCTTTGTGGTTCCTATGCTATTTCCATGTTATATCTATGATATTTCTATGGGGATTTCTGTGGGATTTTCCATGATATGTCTATGATATTTCTATGGGGTTCCTATGGGATTTAAACAGGATTTCTATGGTACTTCTATGATATGTTCAGAGGATTTCTTTGGGAATTCTATGGGATTTACATGAGGTGTCTTGAGAATGTCTATGGTAGTTCTATGATATTTCTATGGGACTTCTATTTGGTTCCTGTGGGATTCCATTGGTATTGTTTAATATGATGTTTCTTTGAGACTAGGACTAGAAACTTAATCAGTGATAAATAACTAGAAAAAATAGTAAAAAACAGCTAAAAATCACGTAAAAACTGGGGACCCACAGCGTCCCACACTCTAAAAATAGTCGGTGAATGGTTGGTGAATTTTATATGAGCTATGGAGGGATAAGTTGTGAAAAGTAAGATTGATTAAGAAGAGGATACATGTGACAACCCATGCATATGCACTGTGCTGCTTGTTATAAAGGGCATCATGTGACACTTGTCTTGCACCCACAGAGAGACATAGATAGAGAGAAAGGGGGAGAGAGAGAGAGAGAGACAGAGAGAGAGAGAGAGAGGGAGAGAGAGAGCAGGGTCTTCTGTTGTTAGTATTGAGACACTATATTGCAAGACAATATATTAAAGATGTATTATAGGCAGGCGAGACAAGTATTATCAAGAGAGTATATTACAAGTACAATTCTTAAGACACTAGTTTGCATCGTATCCTTCGTATTGTTTTTCACACAGAACCTTTTACACACAGACGCTTTTGCACAGAAGCTGTTACACACAGGCGTTTACACACAGACGCTTTTACACACAGACGCTTTTACACACAGACGCTTTTACGCACAGACACTTTTACACACAGACAGACACTAGACACTTTTACACACATACGCTTTTCTTTTTTACACACACACACACACACTTTTACACACGGACGCTTACACAGAGACTTTTACACACAGACGCTTTTACACACAGCTTTTACACACACAGACACTTACACACAGACGCTTTTACCACACAGACGCTTTTACACACAGAACTTTTTACACAGAGACTCTTTTGCACACAGACGCTTTTGCACACAGAAGCTTTTTCACACAGACGCTTTTACACACAGACGCTTTTACAGGCAGATGCTTTTACACACACACACATACTTTCACACACAGAGGCCTTTACACAGAGAAGCTTTTGAAGAGTGTCGCTCACTGACATTTTATGATCCTGAACTCAAACTGTTCTGTTTTTGACATCAAGCACATGATGGCATCGAGCTCTGTTGCAAACGTTTGCAGACATTTCGCTAGTGAAGTATTGTCACATGTGTGATTTACAGCATCATGGTACCGATCTTTTTTGAGCCATTTATGTGGGATTATCCATTAAAAAATGAAATAACATGTGTCATACACAGCATCATGGTACCGAGCTTTTTTGGGCCATTTATGTGGGATTTTCCATACTAAAAGGAAATAACATGTGTCATACACGGCATCATGGTACCGAGCTTTTTTGATAGTTTCTGTGGGCTATTCCCAGAATAAAATGAGATATTGTGTGTCATTTACTGCATTATGGTATTGGACCTTTTTTTGTGCAAACGCTTGCAGACATTTCACTAGTGAAGTGTAGTCACATGTGTGATTTACAGCATCACGGTACCGATCTTTTTTGGGCCATTTATGTAGGCTTTTCCATTAAAAACATGAAATAACATGTGTCATACACGGCATCATGGTACCGAGCTTTTTTTTGGGCCATAATGAAATAACATGCGTCATACACAGAGGCTTTTACACACAGACGCTTTTACACGCAGATGCTTTTACACACACACACACACTTTCACACACAGAGGCTTTTACACACAGACCCTTTTATACACAGAGGCTTTTACACACAGACACTTTTACAAACAGACACTTTTACCCACAGAAGCTTTTCACACACACACACACACTCGCGTTTCTTTTACACACGCACTTTCACACACAAAGGCTTTTATACACAGACGCTTACACAGAAGCTTGAGCAGTGTCTGCCGATGCAAGTGGAATGCTGACCATCCAAACAATGCACATGCTAAATATTTATATCTGTTGTAATGCTCCCATACATCAACCGCAGTGCAAGCTTGTATGACGATCCAGCATCAGTTCAGTTTCACTGTAAAGAACAATTCTTACAAAACCATAAACGGCTGCAGGAACATGCGTTTGGAATACTTAACTCGAAGATTCTACAACACACAACATCATCACGAAGGATTCACTACAACATGACCACAGACGCAAGAAACAAAACTGCACAAGCATTGAATGCCTCTTTCAGCCTCTCATCATTGAATGCACAACCTCAGTCGGACACAGCATTCATGAATCCAACATACATCGAAAAGCCGCAACACAAACAAAGTTCCAAAACTGTACATCGTGACTGTCATCATCACCCTCACTGCAACTAAAGCAACCGAGCTCCACACATTGCTAGCGCGGGTGCTATCAGCTATCAGCCCCTACAGAGCATGGAACAATCACAAAACACAATCTGCAAAGAATCAATGCAAGACCATATCCACAGAAAAAAGATGTCGCAAGTATTGCTTTCAAGGCATCTCTGCATTCACTTGAGGCTCCGACCAAACGATTCTTTTGTAGAAGATGCAGTTGAATGCCGTTCGCACAGACTTGTGCGGTAAAACTCCATGCTTGAATTGGAACAATCAGAACACAATCACCAAAGAGTGAACGCAACACCATGTCCACAGAGACAGAACACAGACACCTTTGCACACAGACCATTTTACACACAAACGCTTTTACACACAGACACTTTTACACACAGACCATGTTACACACAGCCACTTTCACACACAGAAGCTATTACACACAGACGCTTTTAGACACAGAAGCTTTTACACACAGAAGCTTTTACACAC